ATGCATGCACTTTTGCCAATACACTATGGCATGTATTTCAAATATGTTTTCACAATCATAATTAATATCCACTGATGCATGATATTAATAAACTCGACTATCTATTCAGTTCATTATTGAAACAATCTGCTATTCAGCGAGGAAAGATTTTGACGTAAACAATGCTCGTCTTTACTTTGTTAGCATTCGTTACTTTCATTCTCGTAACAAATGCACAGAAACCTCCAACATTGATAGTGAGCATATAATTAAAATGTGAAATAGACTTACCAATACAGTAAATTACTTTCTTTCTTTCTTTATGCAGCTACCATCGACTGTAAACACGAAAATACTACATACACGTAAGTTGAAATGCTAACAACAGTTTTTCTTGCTTGATTAGGACTGTCATGCTTCGACGTATTTTTATTACTTCTAATGTTGCTCATACCAGAGGAATCAAGTTTAAATAGAATATTGGAAAACAAGAATCTGATGTTCAGTGAACGAAGAGAGTACTGGTCTCATATTGATTTATTTTGATATGAATTGCCAGTGTAGCATTCAAAATTTCTTCGCAAGATTATGAATACGAACAATATACGTATATCATGCGTCAATCTCCAGTACTAATTACTTTTGGTTCATTGATTTATCCAGATTGGTAGTTTAGAATTGGGCTTTATCTTAAATTGATTTTTTTCTCTGATTTTTAGCGGATGCATTCGAAGAAGATATTATTATTTCAGCGTCACTAAAAACGGTAGGTACATTTTTAGTATCATAATAAATAATTCAATTTTTCTTTGATTCACTCAAGCGTGGAGTTCCGCTAATTGGTAATAATGTGCATTGGCCAAATGGGACCGTTCCGTACAAAATTGCCCCAGGCTATGGTATGTATATTTCATTGTTAAACTAGTATTAGATAAACCATATAGACAAGCAAAACAAAAAATTGTTCATTTATTCATTTTGTGTGCACATAACTAAATCACTATAGAATCTTGTTATCGTATAGTTTTTTCAAAATTGATTTTAATTCACCACTGCTTTTTCCTTGTAGGCGCTGAGCAAGAAACAGGGATTCTTCATGGAATACGAAAATTAGAAAGTTTGACTGCTATTAACACAGACCTTTGTTCGCATTCGTTGTAGACATCAATATAAGTACTTAGGCGAGTTTGAGCGCAGCGGGATCTTATCTAAAAATTAGCCAATCTCAACGATTCAAATCATATTTCGCAGTTGAATACGGTTCACCAATGGTAATAATGTACAAAATATTTGTAATGTAGTAGTTGTTCATATTAGTTGTGTGAGCTAGTAAAATTCATTTGACTACTTCGGAAAGAGTGTATTCGAATATCTATTTGTAGCTAGATGGATAAACCAACGGGAACAGAAAACGACAGCAAAATTCGTAATAGAGCGTAAAATCTGAAAGCTGTTTGTTTTTACAATTTTCCATAGTTGTGTATTGAGTGGCATACATAATTTTATTTGTTCTAGATTGCTGAATAAAATCCACCGTCCTCCAGTAGTTGACTGTGTGCTTCGCAGAAAGTCTTCTCATAGATAGTTCAATAGTGTCAAACTTGAAACTTGAATTTAATTGAAATTAAAATTTTCAACTTCACTGACAGCAGTAATATGTGTCAGCCACGATTCTTCAAACGCTGTTGGATTAAAAGTTGAAAGTTGAAAATTTCAATTGAATTTAAGTTTGACATATATGAGATAGGTAAAATTTCTGGAATACATAGGAGAGAAAGCTAGAAACCAACAGTTCTGCAAATGTCTAATACATGAAATAACTTTCATACAAAAAAAGAAAAACCAACGAATGAGTTATCTTCATCCTTGTGCTAGGTGGTTTTCGAAATATCATCAATGTGTTCTTTCCATTAAATCTTACTACACAAGCGTGTTCAGTTAATTCGTTATGGACAATATGATTCAATGTAACTAAACCTAACAGGACAACCGGTGGCGACTATGAAGACATGAGCATTATTCTAGCCCAAAATCCGACAAGCATGTGTCGTTTGCCATTTGGTCTTGAAGCACAATCCACCAATTATTTAAGTGGTGCACGGCAGGTTCAGTGGTCCTATAGCAGACCGAATGTCACACTTTATCTTCTATCGATTCGATAGTTAGAACCTGTTTATGTTGACTTTCGTGTTCGATACTGTTGTCCAATAAACACTTTATCCGTACAACAACAACAACTTTACCACTGCCGTTGGATAGTACTACTTGCGGTAAACAAGAAATCGCTCCTCGATCAAGTCTAATCACCCGTACCTTTGATGGAATAGAAGCAATTTCAAATTCATGGCCATGGGTAAGTAGTCAGGAAACAACAACACTCGAGTTTTAATTAATACCTATTTAGATGATTACCTATGAAGGATATAATTCATTTTGTGATGGTACTCTGATTCACAAAGATTATGTAATTACTGTCGCTCACTGCATTGCCACAAATAAAGCTTCAGCTATTACTTTAATTGCTGGTAGTCATAATGTGTCCTCAACTTCAGAAACAGTTTCACGGCAGAAGTGCACCGCTCAAGCAATTTACATTCATCCTCAATACGATCCTACTACGTATACTAATGATATGGCCTTGCTACGTGTCAGTACCTCCTTCATATTCAACACGTATTGTTCAGCTAGCATGTTTGCCTGGCGGTGAACCAAAACCTGATGACCAAGTAATTATTACTGGATGGGGGCTCTCAATACATCGGTGAACCAATCCAAAGTACACTCAAACAAGCCTACACACAAAAGTTGTAGGTGAATGCGATCAGTGGTGGCAACCACTTTATAATTCTAAACAGATATGTGTTGCTGATTCAATCACTGGCGCTTCGGCATGTAAAGGCGATAGTGGTGGTCCTATCCTAGCTCTATATTAGGAACAATATATTCTGTCGGGTGTAGCTAGTTTCGTTCACGTCTGCAACACAGCAGGTCCTAACAATCAACCGAATGTTTACACGCACGTCGCAAGTTACAAGCCTTGGATTAAAGGAATTACTGGCTGAAATAGATAGTTACATATCAGAAAGCTAAATAAAAATTATCAAGTTCTACTCTACTCGAGAAAGCAAACTTATTTCAGATTTTCAAATGCAAACTGCTCACATATCTCTCTCGTTGCTATAATTTTTAAAAAATTTTTATGCCGAATCATATTACTTGGCAACTTGTTTTTACTAATATCTTTTTTCCGTTTATTTCATATCACTCATGATTGTTGTATTTTGATCGTTGGTGATAAAGGCGCTTTATTACACCTTGATTAATCCGAATAAAAGAATTCGCTTTTAGGAATTTATTGTTTTTCAAATTTATTCCTTTTATCATTATGACTATTCATAATAATTATTGTACAAGCAAATGGATCGGTGAAAAGTTAAATAAAAGGAAATTTGGTGCACCTATTCATATTGAGTGCTTGAATATGGATGGGTAAGAGGGAAAATGTGACTTTTTACGTTTGTTCTTCTTCTGTATCCAATCCCATGCAGTACTTAGCATTCATAACCAAGCTGTCAGCTTGATGCCTTGGATTTAATAAAGTATTTTTGTGAAATTCCTTTTCTTTCAATTAATAGAACTGCGTAGAATAATATATTCTGATGATGTATTTTTGTAAATCAAGCTTTAACATTAACAATCTCTAAGTGCATATGAGACTTTATGACTTGTGTCAATAATAAAACTCAATGTTCTCTAATGGCAAGTCACGAGCTCAGCCTACTTGATGATTAATATCTTACATTAGAGATCAGTTTCTTTCTTCAAAATTCAATAGATCAATGATTTCATCTATTTATTTATATTAGTCATATTGTCACAAACTCATTTAAATTATATTTTGCTCGTTTGTGTCATACTACTAAGCTACTAGGAAAAAAATGATTCGAATACAAAAAATTATTAAACGGGAGAACATAACTTGTCATATATAGAGAAAAACTTTTCATTATAGAACCAATGATGAATGAATAGAATAAATAGTTTTGTTTGTTCTTCGATGGATATTTTTCACAACAACGTCTTATTCTTATCGGTCATTATTCATTTATTTTTCATCTATATTACTCTCATACTTAATAACATATTTTCTTATTATTCTCAGCAGAAATCTATAAACGGACTAAACATTATGTTGAAACTAACTATCATCTTACCTTCATTATTCATAATCGTTATTAATAATTTTGTACTCAGCGATCATTTTGTTCAGTAAGTACATATTGTTCAATTAGCAAAATAGTTACATATATATATTTATCTAATCTAACAGACTGCCTGTCTATCGATTGTCACCTTATGAATCACGTAAAAATAATTGTGTAATGAACAAAGAAAATATTATCTTTTGTGAAAAATCTTCACGTAGTTTACGCCAAACACTAACAAATACATCCAGTATTTACGAAAATCTTATCAATATAGCTGATGTAAGTAATAATGGATTCTTATTAAACCTACTATATCGATGCTTGTTTCGAAGTAACACATATTGTGTAGGAATATAGACGATATGCGTAATTTTTCAAGCCAAAATTCTTTATTGATGAATATATACTAGTTAGAGAGTTTTGTTGTTATCTCTCTGTGATGCTTAATATGAGCGATGCGTTATTCTTATTTCTATTAGTCGCATTACGATAAAACACTGTTAAAGAAGTGCATACATATATTTATGTGGATTTTTAAATGAATTATGTGAATTCATGTTTGTTGATGACTGACTTACCGTTTTTCTTATTGTTTTTTTTCTTTTCATAGGGATATTTCGTTGTAAGACTCTCAATTGGTACACCTCCTCAACTATTTATCGTTGATTTTGATACAGGGTCACCTAATTTATGGGTGGCATCAGTCAAGTGCTTATCGAATTGTGGTAATATTTTCAGCTTTTATCTTTATTCTATGAATATATAGATATATACATATATATATATATATGTTCTCTGAGTTATTCAGCTAAAATGAATAAATATGATGCAACATTGTCAAGTACATATATTGCCAATGGAAAGAATTTTTTGGTTGGCTATGGCGATGGATCTTTTGTGGAAGGTATTTTCAGTATTGATACAGTTACAGTAAGTCACTCAAAGAGATATACGTATGCAATTCATATGGAGATCTGTTAGTACTAATAACCAGAAATCGAATTTTTCAAAAATTATCATCTTGAAATTTACTTACTATTGTGACGTTAGATGGAGAGCGAGATATTTGAAAATTTGTTTGAAAAACAAATCTTCGTATTATCATCAAATATAATTCTTCGCGAACTCCTTAATTATTATTAATTTTATTCAAATATATAGATCAATGGAATTGAAATAAAAAATCAAACATTTGTTGAATGTAATTCTATAAACAGTACGAGTAGTTTACTAAGTGATGGGGTTTTGGGTCTTTCATATCCCGATTTAACATTTGATAATGGTACAACTATTTTAATCAGTATGTGGAACCGTGGTTTAATCTCGAAACTGTTATTTTCGATCTATTTGAATCCGTAAGCTTCTCACAAATAAGTAAAATAATAGATCTAGTTTTTCATTCTTTTTAGGGACAAAAACTCTTCATATGAAAGTGGACTTATTTTCGGTGATATAGATTCAAGTAAATATACAGGTTCAATTACTTATGTTCCTGTAGTAATAAAAATATATTGGGAATTTCTAATGGATAGGTAAAATTGTTATTCATACATTTTGTTTTCCAAATTCTATTAGATAATTTATAAAGGGTCTATGCCAACTCAACTGTTATCAATTCATCGTTGTATGCTATCATTGATACTACCACTACATTTATTCTTGGTCCTACTCAATCCATTGATACTTTAAATATTGCACTCGGTGGTACTTATGATTCATCTGCTGAAATGGTATACATGAAAATGCTTTTCATATTAAATATATTCATTGTCACTATTTTATTTTTTTCAGTATAAAGTTGATTGCATTGCACGTTCACTCTCTTCATTTTCAAATGTAACCTTCATAATCGGTGGTAAAGCATTTACATTAACTCCATTACAGTACATTTTAACTTTTAATAATGGAGTCAACAATTATTTATGTTATACAATTTTTGTTCCACTCAACATATATGATTCAAGAGGCAATCTCTACTGGACATTGGGCACTTATTTTTTGTACCGATTTTATTCAATTTTTGATTTTGCAAACAATCAAGTAGGTTTAGCTACATCGATCTCTTACAATTGGACAAAATCTTTCGACGCATCTCCTTTCAATAATTTATCAAAGACAACACAAGTAACAACACAATCGATTGCATCAACTACAAGTAGTTCAACACAATCGATTGCATCAACTACAAGTAGTTCAACACAATCGATTGCATCAACTACAAGTAGTTCAACACAATCGATTGCATCAACTACAAGTAGTTCAACACAAACGACAATTGTAACATCTATGGGCATACAAATGAATACTTTCCTAAGACATACGTTAAATGATATTGTTCTACTAGTAGGACTTTTTCTCATCAAAACTGTTTAATTGATCTCTTTAGTTTTCAATATCTTGTTTATATTGATAATATTCTGCAAAGCAAAATTTTTTTCGAGCATAAAAATTATTACCTTCTATGAAACTTGAGTTCGTAGATGAAAATAAAATTTTCATAGTATCTTAGAGTTTATAGAGTTTTTCGTTTCGCACCTAGAGATCTCTTTCCGAAGGACTAACTATTAAAATACATGCCAATACTTATCGCACAAGAAAATTTTCACAGGATAAATTTAATGCGTTAGTAGCAAACGTATAATCTAGAGTAAACCTGAAAACATATATGAAAACAAATAATTAGAATAAACTATTGAATTTTCATCACAAGACTACTGCCATAGGTCAGTTTTTGAATAAAATAAAATTTTGAACTTTTTACTGCAAATTTTTACCAAGTAAAAATCAGGCTAAACTACATCGAATAATTTTCAGGACTTTTGGACAATTTCATCTGATAATATAAATTATTCGAAGTATTCATGGCCATGGAATGTAGGTACTATGCACGCAACTTGAAGATATTGCTTATATTTTTATCGTGTTCGATTTGAATAAATTTCTTATAATTTTGTGTTGTCATTGATTAACCGATATGAACTAATTTTTCTTACCAGAAATAAAAATCGATCAGATTCGTTTTTCCTACAACTACAGTTTCAAGTATTTCGTCATCATTGGCTAAAAACAAAAGTAGGATACTATTAAAATTTACATTTCAAATAGACTATAAAACTTCATTGGAAAAATTTATAAAAAAGAATCAATACGATCACGATGAATATTTCGATAACAGTTCGGAAGAAAATAGCAATAGAATAGTTATGTTGATCTTTACATGAAGACAAAATTGTCACAATGAAGAATAATGAAATCAAAATAGAACAGTTTAAATTTTCCATTATCATTATTCAATATGAATTATTGAAAAGATGTCATTTTTTTTTATGCCGAATTTTTTTCTTATTATATTAAACTGAATTTGAAATTTAACAACAAAAGCAAATTAGTAAGTTACAATTTTTGTATTGTTTTCATCACTGAGAAGTAATCAATGATAGATTATGGCATTTCAACAACTATTGATTGTAGCCATTTTATTATATAATCTATATAAGGCATCATAAACATTGATCTCGTTGATAAATATTATTATAATTATAACATGTTTGCCAAGTTATTTGTGTCATTGCAATAATGTAACGTTTTCGGTTCTTTTTTGAAGATTATTTATGTATTTCTACTAACATCGAAAATGATTCAAATTTTAAAACCAGTTGAATAACTAACGAATTCTATTGTATATGGGAAAAAAGCGAACACATCATCATCATCATCAATAGTACTTCTCTCGAATACTATTGTTCTTTCTGTCTCTCTCTCTGCCCTCTTCGCATGTGGCTTGGTCTTTCGAGTATCATTGTATTCGAGAGAAATTTTGCGTATTTATTTTTCTTTTATACCTTTTGTCATAAATTTGAACATGAACTGTAAATGATCATTAGAACGTCAAGAAAATTTACATATGTATATAGCTATATGGTTGTGAATATCAAATAGGAGATTGAAGTGATGACGGATCATAAAATATCCTAGGTGTCAAAATCCAAAATGATAATGATTGTATTTGTCCAATATTGAGCATCGTAGAATTTATTCTACTGAATAAATATTCTCGATCTATTTGATGATCAAAACATTTTATCGTTATATATGACACACGAGCTCTTCTTTTTACTCTTGTGACGTTGATATTATCACCCTTCATAGAAGACAACAAGTATGTGCAATATTTGTTGTTTCTCTCTATCAATAGTCTGATCACTTCTATTATTTATTTGTTTTTCTGACAAAAATAGAAGACGAAACGAATATGTTTAGCAATTGAGACTGCCACTCGTGCACATGTTTCACAGCGGATATTGTAAATAATGAGGATGACGGTGAATGCAAAAATTAACAAAGCCCGTTAGATATCAATGCTCAATAATCAAGCTATTTGTCTCTAATGATGTAGTGGAGCAATAAATCACTGTGAAGAGAATCGATCTTTGAGTTTTTAGGAATAAATAATGTGAAAATTTTTTTTTATTTTCTAAAAAAAATTTGAACAATAAACCATTCATTTTATTTTTGCATTAAACACAAACCGTTTTGTAAAAAATTTTATTTGAATTCATCATGAATATTTTCAAATATGAGACTACTTGCAAGAAGCAATGATGCCAAATATTATTCATTATCTATTTCAGTGAACCAATATTATATTTTAAGAATGCATGAATTTTTAACAAATTTCAAGCTGCATTACTATATATGTATGTATGTATGTATTTATTAAAGATTTTATCACACAAATTTACGCAAATATCTAAATAACAAATAACATCTGCTTTATCTAATAAAAGATGAAACAGAAAAAAAGTTAATTAAAGTAGGCAAACTTATGAACAACCGTCGTAGTTAGCATTAGTGAAAATAATTCTTTGCAGCATTGTCTCTCGTTTTCTTTTTCTGTTTGATGTTGTCATTGTCATTATCATGCATACATCATGTTTTTCTTTCGCTCGACGCCTACCATGCATAGTGTGTGTATGTTTTTTTTCTATGCCCATATCAACTATCATCATCATCATCATTATCATCATCATCATCTGTAAGCGATGGTTAATTCTTGCCATTTGGCCACACTATACTTTCTTATTGATGCTAAATAATGAAGAGTAAAAGATGGTATTTCTCAAGCAAATCGAATAGGAATGAAGAGAGAAAAGCGTAACATTCTATTTATTTGCAACGTTTTTTTTTCTTGGATTAAATCTAAACATCAATGCAAGTAAGATCATTTGTAATTTGATCTTGAGCTCTGCCATACAAACACGCGTATGCAATCGTCATATTATTGATGCGTGAACCGCCTTTGTAATGCGAATCTCTAACGTTTGCTATTTGTTTTTTTCCAATCAAAATTCCGTTCATCACATATACGTATGATTATTGCCTAATGCATATATTTGAAGTCAATGAATAGAAAAAAGTCAAAATCCAGATTGTCTCAATATCAACAAGAGAACACAGCAGACACTGATGATCCATTTATTATTCTTCTTTCATTTGCACAACTGGTATTGATTGTACAAGGCGGATGTTGATGATAGTTCGTAGTTTCTTATAGATAATTAGTGTCGATGAATAGTTCAGTATAACACTGATGTACTCATCAATAAGACACGATGTTCAATATTATGAATGACTAATGAATTATTATGTACATGTCTACTGATACAATGTATGTGGGTATATATATATATATATATATATATATATAGATGAGCGCACAATCGACTTTTCTAGATCGATTTGTCTCTGGATGCATGTACGCGTGTGTGTTGACATTTGATAGGGTTGAAACGCACACTCGCGTGTGCGTGCCATACCGTGCTGAATCGAGCGTACGCACAGGGCGGAGATATCATAGGACAATTAGCTTTTTTCTGTGTATTCGCTCGAAAATAACATTACTAAGGAAAAAAGAACGGTGATCATTTCCGATACAGGCTGTGTTTGAAGTTGATACTCAGTTACACTGTCGTCTAGCTTAATCAAGTTGCCATTCAATGCAATTATATGTTAAAATTAAGACTAATGAGCAAAGGAAGCGTAGAGATTTTCGATTTCTTTCCTCTCAATCAATCAATAAATGGATAAGACTAAAACAAGAACAAGAGAAAAAAGATGAAGGTACCAATTGTTTATGTCAGTCAACCGCGATAGTTTGTACTCAAAACGAACAGAAAAGAGAAAAAGAGAAAATCTAAGAAGAGTGCTGACGATCCCCTATTATCGAGAACTAGCAAACAGAAAAGAAGACATGATGTCAATGCTTGTTTAATTATTTTCTCATTAATCCGTTAATTGGCTACGCTGTAATATACATTTAGAAGTAGAACCAAAGAAAAGAAACATATAGTTGGATGGATATCATCAGAATAGCAACAAGAATAATCTACTATTATTAGCCTATTGAAAAAAAAACAGCAACTTTGTTTCTTTTCTCTTTGGCGTTTTCAAAGACTATATTCATGTCATAAAAGAATCATTTTTTTTCTTCGTTATCATTTTACGTATTTACTAAACTTGATAATACCATGGACAAATGCTATTGGCGTTACTGGTAGGTATCAATCTCATTATTTCTTTCTCTTTTCTCATCACTTCATTATCTTCATCTAGCTATAAGAGATTGATTACATGAGAATAAGAAACGAAAAAAAAAGAAGAAGAAGAAGAAGAAGAAGATATAAAGACAACGGTACACAAAACTCAATTCTTCTATCTATTTGTGTCTCGTCGTCTTCGTATACAGGAAATATACACATAGACTATTGACATAAATGCATATGCAGATACACATTCAATTTAGTCAAACCAAATTTTTTTATCGTTGTTTGTTTAAACAATACGAGTGAAGACGAAAATTCGATCGTCATATCTAAGAGTAAGAGGAGCTCATATGATGGCGCGACAGCACGTTACGATGAATGAACAAAAGTAAAATCTATGCTACGTCATCTATTCGAAGGTGTATGCTAATCTTTGTACTTGAGCGTGTATATGTAGAAGCTGGATGAATGAATAAAATATAGGGGATCAAAGTAAATAAAAGAAAAAAGTAAAAAGTAAAGAAGACGAAATACAAACGAAAATATGCATTAGTAAAAGTAACATCTTTTTTTTGTATTACCTTCTTTCTTTCTTTCTCTCTCTCTCTCCCTTACTTTCAATCATTCTCCGTCCTTCTTTTTCTCTCAAAGTGTAATATATGTCTAGGTATATGTATACGTAATGTCGATCCTACATAACTTCAGTGATTGAGATGATGAGGATAAAAATTCGAGGACGTGATCAACTGCGAGACATAACAACAAGTAAGCTTGACATTTTCCTGTAAATGTAACTACGACACTCACATTGTTCTTTCATCAACTATAAACGTCTTTATTGATAATTGTGTCATATGGGCTTAGTAGAAAATATATTTATGCATATATTTTTTTTCCTTTGTCGAAAATTAGGATATTCAATCGAAAAATCTTGTTTCTTTTTATAGAAATCCAATTTTTTACAGCTTTCAGTTGTTTCTTATTCTTTAGTATTATTGGTAGTTCAACATTATAAAACTGTGATTTATTCCCATTGGATTCTTTCTTTCTTTTTTTTTTATCTCTTTTTCTCTATTCACACCATATAGTGTTGTATGAGTATTAGAAACCGGATATTCACTCTCTTTTTCTGTCTTTCCTTTTCTTTTCTTTTTCTACGTATGGCACACGCTCGGTCGTTGGATGATTCGCTAACGCGCACCGCTACCATTCTTATTATTGTATAAAAATGCAAATATACGAATGTGTAAGGGAGAGAGAGAGAGAGAGAGAGCGAACGAACGAGAACGAGAAAAAGAAAAAAAATGAGTTAGCTCGATGTGTGAATTTCTCTTGCTGTAAAAAGAGACTATTTTGTTGGAAGTGTAGTTCTTCTATCGTGCACTTTCTTCTTCTCATCTCATTTTTTTAAATTCAATCAAACTGATTTTGACCTTTTTGAATAAATGGTATTTTCATTAGATTTATAGTCTTTCACATACACACACCGTAAAGTTGTATGATCTATTCTCAACAGCAAAAATTTTACGCTCTTTAGGTAAGTGATCTTTCTTTTTTTCTTTGATTGCTTCGCTCATGTGCTTTTGGCATCTGATCAAAAACATCGGTGTGGATGATATTTGTTCACAAATAAAATAAATTAGAAAGAAAAGAAGTACTAGTTCCTTGTGTGACACATCTAAATGAAAAAAAATAAGAATGACATTATCATTGTCGATGTTAGTAGAAAACGAAGAGATAGTGACATTTATTTAGAATTTATAATAATCTTCTTTTTATGGCCATCGGTTGTTATTACAAAACGAACAGCTTTTTTTTCTTCTTCTTCTTCTTCTTCTATATATGTTCACTTATTAATGAAAGATCGAAATAATAAAAATTTCATTATCATCGAAGTCGAAGAAAAAAAGAAATACTCGATAAGTCTAATCATATTTGACTACTAATTTTTGTCCTGTCCTATAAAATAAAACTCTTTAGGTTTATTACCCAACACTGCGAGTTCTCTTTTATTGTTGTTGTTCTTGTCATTATTGTTGAGGTCGAGGATAATAATTTTGTACATGTAACAACGAAATGAAAACGAGTTTGAACGAAGATCGTAATCGATCATTCGGATTATTTGTGCATTATGCACAAATTTGATTGGATAGAAATTATCAATAATGTCCAATCAAATTTTTGTAAGCCATTGTAGCCATATTAGCATCGTTGTAATTGAACTAAACTAAACTAGTCGATGTTTTGAGTACGAAAATATTTTATTCGAATAAAACTTTTCTTTTGTGAAAAAAGGAATAAAATAAAATAGAAAATCGGAAGAAACATAGAAATATGTAGATCCTACCGTTGATAATGCGAGCATTGAAGATGACGACTGTCTCTTCTCTATATGTATATACTTGTGTTCTAATGCTGAACTTTCGGAGAGCTATTCACTGATATTTAGAAGCGAAAAGTCAATGTATTATCAATGAGAATATCGTCTCGTTTTTTTTCTTTTTTTTTTCTTCTCTCTCTTTATTCTCCGTAGACATTGCCTGTGTGTACAACGATAAGGTCGCGTCATTTCTAAAAATGTTAAACATTCTTTTTATGCCATTTTCGGCACACACCCGCCCGCTGTTGTCATCATCGTCGTTGCGCGACACAAAAGGTTAGTTATGTTTAATTTCTATATTTGTTTGCGATGGACACCCAAATAATACATATACTTGGACATAAAAAAAAAACTCAGAGAAAGAAAAGGAAAAAAAGGATATAACTATATATAAATAGATTTATGACCTTTTTTTTCCAAGAAATAAGGAAAAAATGTACCTGTCAATCATAGACACGTGTGTTTAGTGTTTGTGGCGGCAAATTTGTTTTTTTTATTGAAATGATCCTCGTGTAAATGATCGCTACATGTGCATGTATATATTACTACATCTAATGAAGTTTGAGAAGTGTATTTGTTGGCGGCATCATTTTTTTTCGATAGCTCTGATCTTCATGAAATAATTATAAAAATATTGAATTAAGATGAACAAATGTAGTAAACTGAGCACTTGCTATCTACTTATCTATACATAGATAGATTTACTAAATTTTTTTCATTCTATGAACTCGTCTGTGATGTACACGATGTATAAGGCAATGATAAATGGCCATCTAATTGTATTCGAGCAAATAACATGAAAACAAAACAAAAGAAAATCTAGAATACATTTGTCGTCACATAGAATCTATATCTGTAGGAAAAACTTTATTTTTGTTGTGATCTTCTCTATGAGATAATTCGTTGTTGTTTTTTGTTTGATCTTGCTTGTTTGCTCATTTATCATCTACATGCTCAATTCATAGTGATGATAGGATACTTGTTGTTACATTTCGTCTTATATCTACGTGTTGTCCCTTTCGGATATCCTATACATATCATCATCATCATCAAACGAATAGGATACCGCGTATACGATAAATGCACGTGTACGCTGCCAATCAGTTAGTTAGTGAAGTTAGCTGCAAGATGTTTAGCGATCATGATCATCGTCAGTAGTATTGTATAGTTTTTCTTTTATTGTATAGAAAAGAAGAAAATCTGGAAATAATTTAAGATCAGGAGCCTATATTTTTAATGAACGCGTAGGCGAACAACACGTGTTCGAACTGTCAGAATCAACAACGGGATACTCGTATAATGTAAACATACAAAAATAGACAGACTAAAAGGCTTGATCAATTGTAAGCAAAAAAACTCTAATTAACTCAAAATTATAAAAGAAGAAAGAAAGAAAAGAAGAATATAGTAAATTGGAAAGTAGTGGTGGTGATGATGATGATGATGATGATCAAGATGATGAGCATGAACAGTAATATGAGCTGAGATAAGAGAGAGCATACATCTATGTGTATGTTAAATGCCACATACAGTATCCGGCTATGTTCGTTAGACGACCTTTTCCAAGTTATACACGCGAATGGAGTTACTAATATAATCACAGATAAAGAGAAAAAATTAGAAAAGAAATAAAATTTTATTGGAAAATAAAGGTTTTAGTCTACAATAATGTCTTCCTTTTTTCTCTTTTCTAGTGCTCGTATTATGAATACAGACAATATTAGCATAAGTGGATCATGTATTGGTGGTCCCAGCGATCCATACAGTCATCATCATCATACTTTAACTCAACATCATCACCTTCTTCCACCTCATCATTCACAACATCCATCGTCAATCTATTGTTCATCATCTAATCCTTATGCAGAATTATTTTCTCCTTTTTCGACGGAATTTGTCACACCTCATGATACAAGTACTCATGGAGGTATATCATCGGATTATCTTAATTTACAAAATTCTCTCGATTACGCTGTTTCACATCATCATCATCATCAACAGCAGCAACAGCAACAACTACAACTACAACAACAACAACAACAACAACAACAACAACAACTACATCATCACCATCAGATAGCTAGTTCATCCAATGGAGAACGTACTTCATCATCTATTATTAATGGTATTAATGGTTCTGGTTCTTCACCATCTCATTCATTTGGTAGAACAAATGGTTATTCATCAGCAATGGATTATTATAATACAACAGTTTTAACTTCAAAAACTAATCTTAATACATCAAATGGAACTGCGAGTAATAACAGTAATATATCAACAAACAATACAAATATTCATAGTCCATATGATGGTACATCAACAGCAAGTACATCATCGCCACCTCATTCAACAGGTTATCTAACTACAACGATTAAACAAGAGAATATGATGCCACCTTCGTTTTCCACCGATCCGCATAGTAATTATGGTAATAGTAAATTCCTTTTCTTATGATGAAAAATCTAATTGAATCAAATTTTCTTTTCATTTTTCTTGATCCAACAGGAAATGTCAATGGAGCCACATCGGCAACAAGCACTAGTACAAGTGGCAATAATAGTAGTAATAGCAATTTCGGTCTCGGCGTTGATGACTATGGCTCTTCATTATATCATCCGTCGGCTAATAGTACTTATTCATCTTATTCCCCGACGGGTCTTTTACAAACATCATATCCAGTTGGGCCTTATGGTGTTGCACATCCAGATCATATGCGAATGTATAGTTCACAATTAAAACATGATTTCGGGTAAATAAACTGCCAATGTAAAATTTATTAATAATGAGTATGATTTATTTATGATAGAATTGATATGCGTTTTAAACTAGTTGGCAATCAACGAGCTTCACCAAATGCGGATATTTCACCATCACAATTGTGTGCTGTTTGTCAAGGTAAATAATCAAAAAAATAAAAATAAAGATAAACAAATAGATTTTAATTCGAGAATAATTAATTTTTCTTTTATAGATACAGCTCAATGTCAGCATTATGGCGTTCGAACTTGTGAAGGTCAGCTAATTGTTTTTATTCGTTATTGTTTTAATCTGTTTTTCTTTTTTTTCATTCGGCGATTCTTTCTTTCTAGGATGTAAAGGATTCTTCAAAGTAAGTTAAACTAACTATTCTGTAAATAATCGATTTGTATGAGATAAACAAATATACATTGATCGAGACATGATTATGTATAAATTATATTTTTATTTATTCTATTTAGCGAACAGTACAGAAGAATGCTAAATATGTATGCTTGGCAGATAAGAATTGTCCAGTTGATAAACGACGTCGAAATCGTTGTCAATATTGTCGATTTCAAACATGTCTCGCTGTTGGCATGGATAAAGAAGGTAAACGAAAATATTTCTTATAGTAAAATATTTATTTTAAGTTTGATTTTCTTTGTTCAATTTAGTTGTTCGAACAGATGCATTGAAAGGTCGTCGTGGCCGTTTACCATCGAAACCAAAAAGTCCAAATTCGCGACAACCAAATAGTTTTCAAACTCAATTTTGTCGTTTCTATAATGATTCCATACCGAATCCGGCCAGTCTTGATTTTAGCAAATTGAATGTAAGTTCAGTTTGTTTAACGAGAAAAACATTCGAACTCTTTGTACACATTATCATTGATTTTAATGAGATAGGAAATTATTTCTTCATGAAAAACTAAAATTCTCAAATCTTTCATATTACATGAGTGTTTGTTTTGAAATTAAAAATAGTTTACAAAAGAGAAATTTTCTTGAATTAAAAATTTCTAGAATAGACTAGTAACGAGTAAAACTATGCGCAGACAAAAGTTCAAATCGATTTATACCTCTATATAGGTAAGGATTTCATGACGATGAGTATAACCCTGAAAGAAAAGCTTCAGTTTGTTAATCCTACTGATATTTGTTTTTACAGTAGTGAGATCAACTTTATGTACAAAGTTTAAGTTTAAAGAACTAATTTATCATTTGAAATGGTTTTGCTATAAATCAATTCTATTCTAACAGTAATAATTATTGTTATTCTTTTTTAATTTTGCAGTACCGAACAGTGACAAGTAAAGAAAATTTATGCGAAGAAAAATTACTTGTTTATGACGCCTTTACACGTTCATGCGATATAATAAAACAATGGGTTGATAAATTTTCACTATTTTATTCCATACAAAATAATGAACGTGATCGTATTTATTCAAATTGTTTATTAGAACAAATTATTTTTCGTACAGCCGCACGTGTTGATGGTGATCGAGTTATTTTATGTTCAGGTACAGTTATTCATAAAATACAAATGAATTATTTACTTGGTGATGTTGCACAACAACTATATGATTATTCATCAACGTTGAAAATTCATAAAATTGATACAATTGTTGCAGCGACGTTAGCGTCAATTTTATTGCTTGATTCAAATAATACAGGTAAAATATTTACCAGAGAAAAAGAATTTTATTTTTATAGAAATTGTTTTTTCTTTTGGTCATTTTAGAATATGTATATCATCAGACACCTTTATCATCAACAGTTACTGAACTTTATCAGAAAATAATGGATTCACTAAAAGATTATTTAAAACAACAATATGGAGATAGCTCGATTTATTTACAATTATTAGATAGACTCAATGATGCCAGACGTATTGCACATCATCTAAGAAAACGTTTATTACTTTATCGACATTCTGTTGGATTAACAAATGCAATGCCTACATTTCTTGATTTAATGTATGTAAATTATAAGACCTTTTTTGTATTATAAAAAAATAAGATTGAAACCTTTTATCTGATTTAGACTTGAAGGTAAATCTATTTCATCGGATTTAAATCCTACAGAAGATACTTCAGCGTTACCATTCATCCAATATGATCTATGACGAAATTATTCTTGATTATTAAATACAAGTATTAACTTAATGCATAACCATCATCACCGATGCTCTTCAGTAGTTATTTAAAGTCATATGAATCACATACATTTTTTGTTTTTTTTGTCTTCCATAATTCACTTCTGCACCTATTTTTTTTGATTGTCTTTCGTTCTTTACTGTTTCTTGTATAGCACTATTCATAGTGATGATGATGGTAATAATAATAATAATAATAATAATAATAATAATAATCAATGAGGGACATATAAACATATTGTATTTTCTGTTGTCGTCCTCTCTCGGTCTTCCTTATACACATAATCCTGCCGTGTGTATCATCATTATTAAATGATCGATTTCTTCTTAAGATTATAGAAAAACCTGTTGTGGTCATCGTTTTCTTTTTTGTCCTATCATTTTCTGTCATGCATATGGATATTGCTTTTTCTTTCTTTCGTTTTTTTGTTCTCTTAATTATTATGCGCGATGATAAAAAAAAGTTCAATAAAAACAAATTGAGAAAAATCCAATTATATTTGTTCGATCGTTTTATATATCATGCATCGAGATTTTTAAGCTAACCACAAAAGGGCAATTTTAATGTGTTCGAAGTTTTTTAGGAAATATCTAAACTTCGTTTCATCGATTTTATGTTCAGTTATAAATATCAAATTCGCTTATTTAGTTCTCTTTTGCAATGGGCTCAATGAATATTTTACATGATCTAGATAAAATTATTGCATATCTTCATTTGAATTATAGATGAAAACATATTATGTAAATAAAATGATAATGATAATGTTTCACAAAAATTAATTTTTGAAATTTTTGTAATTTCATTGTATTTCTTGATTTGACTAAAATTTCTCATACTAACTATGGATTATCGAATATAAAATTTATTTAACAATTATAAGAATCGTATTTTTCTGTATATGAAAAAGAAAGTCATAATCTATCGGAGTCATCAAATGAAATCATTTGCCATCGTTGCAAAATTTTAATTGAGTTTGGTAACATTATTCATGATTATAGAAGAATTAAATAGTAAGAAAGAAAATATTTATAAACGAGTATTTGTTTTAATAGATATTTTATTTAAATTATTATTTTCATTTATTTCTATTCATTTTCGATAAAGTTGATCTTATAAACTCAAGGTCATTATTTTCAAAAATGTTTCTTTCTTACAAGAAATAAAAGGATGGAAGACACGTTTACTTAATTGCATATACAATATATTTATATACACTAACTTGTGTTGTGTTTTTCTTGTATATATTGTATATGTTTGGTGCGCATTAACATCGTGATGATATTTATCGAAATGTTACCAATGCGTTGGCATATACTAGCCTCTGTTTTGAATTATAAAGAGAAAGATATGGAAATAATACTGACGATTTGGTCTTTCATTCATAAGATTCTCACTAGCATGCGTTCATAATGGTTTTGTTAAATTTACTTTTCAATTGTTTTAGTGTTATTCATATCACTAGAAAGCAAAAAAACCTTATCGGAAGTCAACCTATCCATAATGCCTTTATCAATGTCATGTCCTTTGACAAAGGAAATCACTCTTTGATGATTGGCATCGTTCACCAATCAAACAATGTATGTATGTAAACACATGCCAATCCTTTATTCTTTCTAATAGGAAGGATGTGTGCTTTTATACTCATCGCTGATCTGGTTACAAATGGTCTTTATTCAATATGACTACAAATATGGAAGCATCATGAGAGAAAAAGACTAAAGAAAAGCGCAAAGAAAAGAACTTTTCAGCAATATTATTGCTACGAATACTATATCATCATCACAATAATAAAGATACTGCTTGAAGGTTTCATCTTCAGTCTTCTAGTTGCAATTAATCAGACTATTTTGCATCGCATGACTTTAGTTTCCTATTCGAAGTCTCAACTTAAAAGTTTAGTACGCGTAACTTTCTTAATTTGCAAATTTAAATAGTCTCATCATAGAGATGTCATAATTGAGTAAGACTGAAAAAATAAAACAAAACGACAGGTGTTATTGTCAGTTATATAATATTCTGTAGACATCAAAAGAAAATAGTATGTATGGTGTTTGAATCTAGCTGATAGAAATAGATACATATTGCTCAAAATACATCCACTATTTATTCTTTTAGACACAATCAATGTGTGACGAAATTGAGGAGAATCTTGTTGAAGAACTTGATTCGGAAGATGAAATAATAAAAAAAACATCATTATCAACCATAGAAACAACAATTAACAGTAGAAAATCTTTACGAACTCCAAAATGTGCTCGTTGTCGCAATCATGGTGTTGTATCTTGTCTTAAAGTAAATAGGCGCCGAAGTTGATCAACAATTATATATTGATGTGTGCTCTTGTTTTTCTACTAGGGTCACAAAAAATATTGTCCTTGGCGTGATTGTGTTTGTGCTAATTGTTTGTTAGTTGTTGAACGACAACGTATTATGGCTGCACAAGTAGCTCTTCGCAGGTATACTTCCTTGAATCCATTTTAAAGAATATAAAAATTTAGTTGTCTCTTTTTCGTCATTAGACAACAAGCACCAGATGATCCAAATAAAACAGCAAAACTGACCAACACTAAAAAGTACAGAAATTCAGCGTTGTTTCTTCAACAGAAACGATTTAATATACAAAAGAATCTACGGCAAATACAGAAAAGTTCAGTAACTAGAGATATTATTAGAAGTAAGATATTCTGTAAAACGTACGATTCCTATAACTTGTTTAAGTTCAATTCAATTTGTAATAGGTTTGAAAGCACAAAATTATGTGAGTAAAAATGATGTGATGAATAAATTTTTAATGACAACCAATCCAATTCTACATGATCGATTGCGAAAACGTCGATGTTTTGCTGACAAAGAATTAGATAATATGCCAGCTTTATCGTCAGTCATTGGGACTATGGTAACAAATAGTGCTTTTCATGTGACTAATCTGTCACGATTTCATTCTTGCAATTATCATCAAGAAACAATGACTAAAACAAAACCAATTCAAAAGAAGAAGTGCACAGATTTTTCAGTGGCTGCTCTTATTGGTCCAAGTTAAGCAATTGTATTCTATTGCACTTTAATACATAAACTTTTAGTTATAAAAAAACATGCAAGAAAATTATTTTTGTCATTTACTTTATTTGTTGAAAAAAGAAAAAAATACAATGTTAGTTAAATAATCAAACGTATATTGTATGATTTTCATAATAGATGTTGAAATTTTTTATTTGAACTTTGCTTTTCCATATAGATAAATTTTATTTTCTATGGATTCGATATTGCATACATGCGGCTGCACCACAAAAACAATGCACTCATCATCGTAAAAATTATGAAATATTTACGCTGAAATTCACTCGAATGCGTTGCTCTCTGTGGTTAATGATAGAAGCGTTGTCTGTTTTTTTTGCTCATGCGGATTAACTCAAAAACAAAAACTTACTGCTCAATTTGATTCTTACTTTCACTAGATAAATTGTATCTATGTTCAATTAAGGAAAATGTACCCACAGTATTTCAAACATACCATTCCGTTATTATTTCAAAGAATAACAAGAATAAGTCAAAACTATTTAGATTAAATCCTAAAATTCTTAATCGAGAGTTCAAATATAACTTTGCTTCTACTTTGAATACCAAATTTCTATAATTTTTTCGGATATCTGAAATTATTGAATTGATGAATTTCAAATTAGCTAGTTCTAAAAATAAACTCTTTTCACATCAATCTAGTATCGAACCAAAACTTGTTTTTGATTTTTTCTCACGTGACATTGGATAAAATTTCTCTCGCAAACCGAAAAATAACACTAGACAGTACTTTTTTTAATGGTGGTTATCCGGTATGGAAAAACTAAAGTTGAAAAATACATCTACCAGTAAAAATGAATTAACCCATCTGAGCTAATCAAAGTGCAATTATTTCAGCTCTTGGTTGCAGTGATGTTTATGGTTCATCTTGCCAGTTCATGACACTAAAAAGTAAATATTATGCTGTAAGGATACTAAATTGAAATAAAAAGAAACTCATTATGATTAAGATATGTCAACGAGACCAGCTACAATGAAATTCTTAGTTCTACTTTATAGGATTTGACCAGACTTTTAAAATTAATCATCAACCTATAATTGATTCAGAAGCAAAAATTTACATCTTTGTAAATTTATCATCAATATATATGCATATTTTGCAATAGAACAAGTTTCGACTGCCAATTCTTTTTTTGCTCAATGATATTATTTGTTTTTGACTTTCAAAACCTTTTTTAAATTGAAATATCGTTCTTCAATTAGAGTTTGTTGCGTTGCTTGTCAAGTCTTTCAATATGATCAGCTTTTAAATAAAAAATTGTGATATGAACCGAAGAAAATGCAAAATAATTTACTTTAAGAAATCCAACTACAGGAACTTTGTTTCTATATACAAACGTCATGTTCAAACGCTTCGCTTACAGTCTTCATCAATTTAATTAAAACAGTCTAGTGACTGAATGATAGGAGCATATTTATAATGTTTAATTTTATAAATAATTGTACGACACAATAAGAACAAGATTTGTCTTTAATAAAACATTGGAGTTCATAGATGTTTGAAAATTAAGTTTTGCTATTTATATTCTAAAGCAATCAATAGACCTTGCAAATCTTTTCATATCTAGTCAGAATACATGTATGTATCTTTAATTTCAAAATGATATCTTGGGACAAGTCAAGCGTACCAGACACTCCTCTAAGTCAACTTTGGAGAATTCTCGTTATTAATATACTTTAAATAATTTCTTGATAAGATACTATGAAATTGAATTAGATTATTAATAAATTTCTTATGCTCGAACTCATGTTTTCATTAAAATGATTTTAAATACCTCTTGAAATTTAAAATAGAATCAGACTAATATGTGCATTATGATATCAACTGAGTAGTATTGACGTCAGCAATTAGCCGTAGAAGTACTGTAGATATTAATTAATTTCATTTATACAGTGATAAATCATTCCCATTAATTCAAAGAACAGAAAGCATTATTATAATTTATGTTTCATTAGTTAATTTCTTTTAGAAAAAAAAAACAATTAGGAAATCAAACTATCTATTGTGTACTTATTAAGTACACCAAACAATTTTCAAGTGTGTTTAATAACAATCTAACGAGTAAAATCAACTCGAGTGTCCGTTCAATAGTTTGTATTTACTATTATTGCAGTACTTCAACAAACAAACAAGTTTCAGTGGGCGTGTCTTGAAATCGGCACGATTTTTAAATCGAAAATCAACGCTTTTTTTTGTTTTAGAATTAAATGTTTACAAATGTTTTTGTTTTCAAGTAATCTAATGCAACATTGTTGAACTTGATAACATCTCATAAATGAAATAGAATATCTTCAAAGTATTCTACGACAAGAAAGAATTTTATGTATTTTAAAAATCATTTTGGGTTCTTTTTCTACAATAGTTTCTTGCTGAAATTCGCAATAACTTTAAAAACTTGTGTTGATAGAAATGGTCATTTCAACAACAATTTCTATCATTATCATCATTGAGTGACGATAATAAAACCATATAGAACTAAGAAATGGAGCGTGTTTGAGCGATTTATGTTTTTGCAACTGGTCGTTTCCTTGAACAGTCAGTTCAGTTATCATAATATGTGGCATTTTTGTTGATACTGAATAAATAATTTTAGCATGATTGCTTTCAGAGACTAAGAAATTGTAATGCATCTTTTTTCTGTTTTAAACTTTTCCTTACTAATTAGTTTACGCAGGAGCCGATCAACACATGTATTTCATTGAGATGTTGCAGTTTATTTTTAAAAAAGCAGAAAAAAGAACATAATAATATTAAACTAGGATCTATTAGTTTCATACGCTACACTATCACTTGTATTCATAGATTGACTCATGATATTATAGGAAGGTGGTGGAGATTCAATTGACGATTCCCAGTTCATTTGAAAACACTGTGGACGATGTTGATCTGGCTGAGCTATAATAAAAACTTCCATGGAATATGGTAAAACTTGTCGATGAATATACTTTAAACGTATGTAATATAATGCAATAATTATCAATAAGCTAATGATAATAACACTGATGAATGGGAAATAAGACGGAAAAGATGGCATGTTTGCTAGATTCAATGCAGATCCAACAGAATTCTATAAAGTGTAGGACGTTTTTTTGCTGTATTTTTAATGACATAAAAAAAAGAGAAAAAGCGGTATGCAAGAAGATCAAATATTTTTAATGGTTTCTTTTTCTAACATCATATTTCTCGAGATAATTATATTAAATTCTGCACACATATTGCGTATTTTACATATTCCCAACTTCAAAGATTTTATTTTTGTAGATAGATATTTATTGTCCATTATAACGGGGAAAAAGTTTACTTCTCTATTTTCAATATTTCTGTCTTCTAATGAAAACCTTTTCTATGCTTCTATTAGAGACTAATTTCTTTGTATTTATCGGAGATAAGTATTCACTCATTCGTGTTCGTTAAAGATGTACTTTAATTTTAGAGGATAAAACTAATTTAGCGATGAGTTACACAAAACAAAACAAAAAAACATTAATATTTTTCTTTGTTCCTACAATTAAAGTTGCGTATTAGTAATAGAGCGTAGTCATATTTTCTTTTTACTGCAAAATGTCAAATATAATTAAAAACTTGTTAACGTCTCTTCTTGATACGATTAATTAAATATTTCAAAACCATCTTATGTTTATAATATAACTACGAAATAATCAGCTCAATACGTCAGAGCATAAGGTCTACAAAAATAATAAAACATGATAGTCAACATGTCTCATTCACAAAGTGAACTGCTGAGGAAAAAAAAGTAGGTTGAAGAGTCATGAAATATTCATTAGGGCATAAAGATCAATTTACTTATAATATTGTTCTTTGATGGCCATTTATACAATAAAAATTATAATGTTTTATATCAATCTTCACATCTATCAGTTTAGTTTTCTCTCGTTTTCAGTAGTTTTATTTCAATACAATGTATGGTCTTAGACTTTGACATTGTTATTTAGCACGCACGGCTACGTTGATAAACTGATCAGAGATGTGTCGGAAAATGATGAAATGAATGAAAGTCAAAAAAAGATACTCTGCGGCTTTTTTCATGAGCAAAAGTTAACTTTTTCATTTGCATAAAAGGTATCAGTCATCAGCGCACATAATAATAAAAGAAAAAGAAAACACACTTGAAAGCCCTGAAACATCAAATATATGTCACGTATATAACTGTAAATAACGAGAAAGCACAAGATAGTCGTATTTACAATCATATGTGATTCTCGTAATGGATAGACGAAGAACAAGAAGAGGAAAATAAATACATTTTCTAATATAATAAATAAAATTTATGAAGGTAAAATAAAGCACCACCGATTTCTTCGCGAACCGGATATGAATACTCTCAATTATTAACAACATGTGCTGTTTGATTTTGTTGTTGGTGATTATTTGTAACACGTATATGCAGATCAGTATATATCTGTTCAATATATTGCTTTATATTCAAATCGTGTTTATCTGAACTTTGAGAAACCTTTTGAAAAATAAATAGAAAAGAAAGTTATTAAAATTAATTTCAATGAAAATTAATTTTACTGTTGAATAGAAGTTTTCTAGTTCATTAAGATGTTTGTGTAAATCACTAACAAGATGATTTATAATTGGCATACGATGGTCATTTGAAATAGAATTACTAAAAGTAAAAATATTAAAAAGAAAAATGATGTACGTATACCATGATGCGTTTGATGGATTATACATTGAATCAATTACCTTGTTTTTCTAATAATTACAGATAGTTTCAATAGATAGAATGGAGAGCTCCTCAACAGTTATGAAATGCATCTCATTCGTGAGTAATCTACTTCGTTGGCGGCTAGGTTTTGTTCATCAGTTAGAGATCGCTTTGACAGTTGTAATCTCGGTCGAGTCTAACCACGAATGAAAAGTTTTTGAAAGCCATTCTACTCCACTGACATCCCATCCATTGATAGGACAAAAGAGCAAACGAAGCGAACCGTTGACATGTTTCCTACTCAAATAAAGTACGAACTACTGGAACAGATTACTCTTAATATTTCGGATTAAAAACTCAGATGATTTACATAGTCTATCTTCTCAAAATATTAATACTCTATGTCATAGACTTACTCGGCAACATCTGAAGTACGAAAGTTGATTTAGTTCTATTTCACTCAAAATAGATTAAAAACTATAGATACAATGACTGAATATTAAAATTACTTATTATTTCATCGCTTCTTTTGCAAGAAGCTTTAAGTATCAACGACAAATGATAATTCCGTTTAATTTTTCGTGCGTCATATTTTCTGTTGTAAATTATGCAATTCGAAATAAAATATTCAGTCATTTTTGAGTTTAGCACTCGATTAATTCTAAGCAATATCGAGACAAATCGGTTTTAGTAATTCTAGTCTCACATAGTAAATATATAACATGATGAATTCATACTCAAAAGAGGTGAACTACTCAAATAGATTAATATCAATCTTGACTATAAATTTGAATCCATATTTCAAAAATATCTTTAGATATTTGCGAAATAAGGTGTATAATCAATCTTTCATCGCTAATATATATATATATATTTCAAAATACTTTTCTTTGTTTGTTTTTGTTTCAATTTGTTTATAATCTGATATCGATACACTTCGCCGTATTTTAATTTGTTTTTGGCTGTTTACTAATTCACTTGTTGTTTCTAAAGAATCAGAACTTTCGATTGATGATGTACTAGTTGAATGTTTTAATGGCGATGCAGGAATATCTTGTAAAAGTAATGGTTTTAAACCAAGTACAACTGTTCGATAAAAACAGTCTTGCGCCCATTTTGGCATAAGATCATTTGTTGAATTATCTAATTCACGTAATGGTAAAATAGAATCTTGTAAACAAGGTGGCAGATGTTGTTTTGATTTTGATGGAGATGAATTGTTCGATGAGGATGACGATGATGATTGAGTATTTATTGTTGCTACTGTTGTCGGTAAATTAGGTGGTCGCCGAGGAACTTTTAAGCGACGTGATGGAGCTAGTTTCGCTTTTTGAGCCGTATAATTTGACAGCATTGCTGTAGGAAGGATAAGATTTTGTGTCGAACGAGATTTTGACATATTTTTATTTGATGATGAACGAGTATCAACTGAAATTACGGATGGAATACGACGTGCTTGAGAAGAAGAAGAAGATATAGCTAGTGAAGAATTCGATGACGAGGGAAGAAGAGAAGCTACAGGTGGAGGTGAAGTTACTGACGTTGAATTTTCACGAAGTTTATTCATTGAACTTGATGTATGAGCGGCATAGGATGGTAATTGAGAATTTGAAGATGATGCTGATGTTGTATCTGTAATATTATTAAGAAGTGACAGAGATGATCCGCGAAAACGATCTTCAGATCGTGTTCGATTAACTAAAAAACATCCAAAGAAATTAAAATAGTATTTATTTTAATCACAAAAAATAATTTACTACGAATTTTTCCTGTTGTGGAGAGTTTAGATGATGATGATGATGATATTTTTGATTCATTTGTTGTTGTAATGATTGCTCGTGATTGAACAGATTTACTTTGACGATTCGCTGTTGTTGATGAATTCAGTGAAATATTTTCTTGATTTGTATCCATTGATGTTAATAATGTGTCAGGCATTCTAAAACAAGACAATAATGAATTTAATAAACTTTCTTCAAGTTATTTGTGTTTTTCTTACATTAAATCTTTTGAAATTGAACGAAAACGAGCAGAAACACTTTTTCGTGATTTAATTTCATGTGAAGCAACAGTTTCAGTAGTAGCGATAGTATTCGGTTCAAGATTTTCATGATCATAATTTTCAGTAAAAAATGCATTCATTTTTCTATTTGTACCATTTGTTGTTGACGAAAATGTTTGATCGTCATCTTTAAGATAAAATAATGAAGAAAAATTTTCTTTTCTTTCTACAGTTCAATCAAAAACATTCAAATAAACCTTCGTCAAGAAACGTTGATGTATCTTCTTGTGAACTTGTAGAAGCAACCATTTTATTAATGGAACTAGAAAATAATTCATTCTGTAATGACTGAAAACAAAAATTGTCATTCTTTACTCTTCATTGGCATCGTCAGATATTTGTGTTTGAAGAAATTTTGTTTCGAATGACTTAAATAAATATAGAAGTTATTGATTCAAAATTTTCTTTTATATTAAATACAAACTGGTAAACTTGGCTCAATTGTTGCCCATAAACTTCGTTGACGTTTCGAGTTTTGTTGACTCTCATCATTGACATTTGAAGTCTAAAAATTATAAAAAAAATTAATTATCGATGAGAAAGACAACGATCAAAACTATACTTGTGATATCGATTCATCGGCTTCAGTTCTGCAATAACAAAAAATTTAATGAATAAAATAAAATTGAAATAAAATAAGATATACAAATTTAAAGGATCCATTTATTTTTGTCCTGTTTGACGAGACTAAGAAAACAACTGATAATTTAAAGAATTTTCTATGAAAACACGATGGGAATTTATTAAAATTGTCATAACCAGTATTCAAGATAAGAGATGAAAAAAAGCACAGGCAATATTCTAACCAATCATACCTGCAATTATTTAGACCTTGTGATATCGTCAAGGCTTGAAAGTAAAAATATACTTCAAACTAAAGGGTATATTAATATTTTTCTTCATTATTTTTTTTCTATACGGTTACGTCAATCTATCAATCAATTTAGTATTTATATTTTCAAATATAGTATGAGAATCTTGTTTGTATCATTATCGTTTAGCAAGTAATATAAATGAATGATTTACTAATGTATGATGTTTGAGAACTTCTTTCTTTCTTTTAAATAAAATAAAATTGCATAAGCAATTTGTAAACATGTCATTTCAAAAATTTGACGAGACTTGAATATATTCAAGATGGAAAAAAATAAAAACTACATACATCGAATATCAAATTATTTATGTAAAACGAAAGCTTAACATACAATTCTAAATCAGTCGATTTTGTTGATGGTAATGGTTGAATTCGACATGTTGTTGGTACAATGGCTAATTCAATAATATTCCAAGCAAAAATACAGCTAAAATTTTACATAGAAAATAGGTTAAACAAAAGTATATTCACTTTTACCTATCACCCGAAATCGTATATAAATAATGTCCATCTTGGCTAAATTTTAAGTCAGTAACAATTTCACTGTGTCCACAAAGAGAAGCAACACATTCGTTTGTTATTGTATCCCAAATATAAACACATTTATTTGAACAAGACGTTGCTAAATATCGTCCTGTTGTATCAATATCAATTTTAATTAAATAACCAGTATCATCACCAATTGATCCTTTACATGTTCGTACTCGTTTACCATCTTGTAAATTGTAAACTCTAAAACATTTATAAACAAACATCACAAATCAGATGTTAGCAAAGTAAAAATTGACCTTATCATACGATCTTGACAAGCTGTACTAACAAATTCACGTTTATGATCAATGCCTAAATCATAAAATGTCTGTTTTTCAACAATGTTATTTGAACGTATAAATTGATATTTTCCATTTTCGTTCTAAATTAAATCAGTGTAATCATTAATAGACATTTTTACAAACAAAAGAAAAAGATAGAACGTTTACTTTTACTATTGAACGAAATATCAGTGACTTATCAGCACTACATGAAATTAATTGTAGATTCGAAGTTATTGATGAAAATGTAAAACGAACAGCTGTTATAGCCGCAGAATGATCATCTAATGTGGCAACAAGTTGATAATCTTTTGTTACATCAAATATATGAACAAAGCGATCACGACTACTTGATGCCAAAAATGTGACGCCTTGTGTTTAGATTCAATAGTAAATATATGTAGATATTTAAATAGAATAAAACAAACTAACCCATATCAGACGAATAACTGTAATCAATACTAAGTACTTCACTATCATGTGCTTCAATAAGTGCGATTTGTTGCAGCAGTTCCATGTTAAATATACGAATATTTCCATTTCTATCGCCTATTGCTAACGAATAACCATCAGGATTTATTTTCATACAACGGCCTCCAATTTTAGGTACAAATTCAGGTCGTTCTAAATCGAAACACAGACAAAATTTATGCCATCTAAATCAATTAGAACCAATTAAATGAATCTTTTTTTGGTATAGTGATACCGAATGACTTCCACATAATTGACAATATATTAGTAAAGGAAAAAAAAACAGATATCAATAGAATACTACCTTGAGTTGTTTGACTATCACATAATTTAGAATAATCATTATCCAGATAGATAATTTTTATCAATTGTCTGCTGAAGATATTTGAAGAATATGATGATGATGATGATGATGATGGCGTTGAATGTGAGTCATTTTCACTATGATTTAATGACCAAAAACGAATAGAATTATCTGATGAACAAGTGATACATGATAAATTGCGAGGAATTGATGATGTTGTATTCGTTCTTGAATATGTCTAAAAATTAATGTTCTGATAAATAATTAAAACGAAAAGAAAAGAATATTTTACTTCGATTCCCCAACCACAACCTGAATGATACAAATGAGAATCACGTTTTTTTATCGATCGCTCATTCACAAGATCCCATACGTAAAAACTATGATCATTATAAAAGCATGCTAGCTACAAATAAAAAGCAAATAAACGTTATTGCTTTCTTTATGAAGATCAAATATTAAAATTTTTAACAAACCACAGATTTATCTTCATCTAAACAAATAGCAATTGTATCAGGAAAGGACATATTCTGTTGTTGTGGATGTGGATAGGTCATTTGACTAGAAATACCAAAAGAAATTATAAAAAAAAAATTCATTGTCACTTCTTCACTCAATCGATGTAATAAATGCAATATCAACACCCAAGTAATGTGGCAAAGGAATAGACATAATATAATCGAGTGTTTGGGGTGAAAATATATAAACAGCACCATTGACACATCCAACAACAAGATATAAATCACCAATAGTTAAGCAATTTGCTTTTTCCTTATGAAACAGAAGTAAAATAATATTAGTTTTTTAATTGAAAACTTTTCTTAATTTACGTGAAGATCAAGTTCACCACACATTTGTCGATGTTCATCGAATTGACAAATGAGACCATTGGCTGTAACAACATAAGTCATACCAGCACAATCACCACGCCCACAAACAACATCTGTGAATAAATTATCTTTACGTTCAGCTAAAATTGCATATCGGCCGCGTAATGGTACAACTTCCAACTAGTATAAAAAAAAAAGATTGAATTCATAATGTAAATTTAAAAGGTAATGAAAAAAAACAGAAGTAAAACATACGGCTGACGTGGATATTAAATACCAGAATTTCACATGACGATTACCAACAGTTACAAAATAACTTCCATCTTCAGCAAATGCAACGCGACGAATCTAAGATATATGCAGTTATTGACAATAATTGATAAAAGTCAAACTTTTTTTGTTTTCTTACAGCACATGTACATTTATTTGATGCAAGTTTTTTCTTATCTTTCCAACTCCATACATATATATTTCCATCATGTAAAGATCCAATCGATACAAGACGATCAACATTTGGCGAAAAGCACTAAAAATCACAATGTATTAAAGTATCATTTTCAGAACTAAAAATACGACACACAAATGGACTTCTTCATTCTTTCTAGTTGAGAACATATACTATGTATGTTACCCGTAATTTTAATTAATCTCATAAACTAGCAATAGACGTACAGTAATGTATATCGTACAACCAAGCAAATTATTGAAATGCAACCTTCAGTTATGGATCATGCGTGTCTTTCTGTTCATAAAACGAAAAGGCGATGAAGAATATTACTAATAATGTATGTGTAGATGCGGCCTCTTGGGCGTATACTATTAAATAGCATTTGTCGTGACCTATGAATAGATTAGGAAGTAGAGCAGCCTTACTATGATATCAATCACAGTCTGTTTTGAGCCATTTTTAATATATCAACACTTCTTTTAAATTGTATTTCAGACAAATGCCTATGGCAAACTCAGTTGATTCTTTTCTATTAGTTTAATTAAAAAAGATAGATACGAATAAATGACCCATTTTTTTGATTCTTTAATACTCGAGAGAATAAAACTAATCTAGAAGATAAATGCAATCTATCGATCTATTTACTACATAATCATGCAAAAAACAAAAGTATTAATATATTTTTATCTAAAAATAAACTCTAACATCATTATCATCAATCTTACTAAGAGTTGATCATAGCATCAGTTAGTTTGATTTCATTTGAATATTTCAAAATTAACTTACCACATTATCAATAGCAAATGTATGGTCACCCAATTCAATAGAAACTGTTTTATCACCAGTCAAATCCCAAATCCGTACTTTAGGATCATGACCACACTAAAATTATATATATATATATATGTATATATATAATAAATTAATGTTTATCTCTGTTGATTTACTTCGCCTGTTGCTAAATATCGACCATCGGGTGATAATGATAAGGATGTAATAGCTTTCCGAGCTGTATTAATAATGAAATCTTGCTTTTGTGTATGAATATCATATAAGACCACAGTTGAACTATAAATAAATTGAATTACTTTCTTTCTCTCTCTCCTTCTTTTACTTTTGAAAAAAATAAAATACCCAGCAGCATAAGCTATTGTCGAATGATCTTGGCTAACCAATGAATTTGATATGGAAGTAAATCCAAGAACATGTTCAAGATTAACTTGAAACTAAAGAAGAAAATTAATCATCCCATTCAGAGATAATATAGAAGATATTCTACTCGAGATATATTTGATGATACATCAGATCGTTGAGCTTTACGTTTAAGTGCAGAATAGGATGTCATATTAGAAGTACTTGTTGCTCTACGACGAAATATATCAAATGGAGAAGAAGAAGAAGAAGAAGAAGAAGAAGAAGTAGAAGAAGAAGAATGAATATTTTGTGCGGTTGAGGCGATATTTCCAGTTGTTACAGGTGTTGAATGTTGATGACATTCAATTGATCGTCTATTAGTTAGCCGAGTTTCATCTAAATGATTCAAAATAATGAATGAATAATAAAAATCAATTGAAGTAAAATATATTTATACAATGATAATGCAAACGAAAACACATCATTATCTATTAAACAAACAAGAAATAAAACTAGTACTATCATTCAAAATTATTCGCATGATTTTTAGTACTTCAAATAAAATCTAATTGAACAAATACACATGCATAGATATGCTTAAATTAATGATTACTCTCAATCATACAGTTTTCCGTTTGTTCTCATTTTATTTCTTATTTTAACAATGATTTCCTGTGAGAAGAGCCATGTGGCATTGATCCTACTATCAATAATGCAATGCAATAAATTAACAGCAACAAAAAAAAACAGACTAGAACTAATTTAGAGATATGTCATTACTATCAATTGTAAGGCTATTATTAATGTGTATAGAAATGATAAAGATCCACATGAAAACAATTAGATACATTCGTTAAATAAAAATTGATAACTTAGTAATGAACTATCAAGATTTTTATCGGTTTGCTCAAGGAAGAAAAGGGGTATGTTGATACAAAAAAGAATAAGAAGCGTTACACCGAGAGAGAAAAAATAAACTATTGATTAGATAATAGAAGTACCGTTTCTTGTTATTGAAGTATTAATTAAACGTTTGACTTTGATAGATTTACTAAATATAAGTGTTGAAGACCTTGTTGCCAATCGATAATGATGCGATGATGATACTAACTGATGACGGTTTTCATGTTTTTTGTGATGCATTGAATGACAACAACGACAACCATGCCATGTGTCGTAAAGAATAAAGTAGGCAGAATGAGAGAGAAAAGGACGAAGAAATAGACAGTCTGATTGACATACAAACACTATGAATACATACAGATACTACTACGAGCTACCAATAATAGTTTAAATCAAGAGAAAGAAAAAATATCAAACGAAATGTGAACTAATAGTAACGCATAGAGGCATCACGTTATACATAACTACGTATTCTTTCTTTTTTTTTATATACTTGACTCACTGTAAATTGAGCTTCTGCTTTGTTTTTAAACTAAAAATTAATGCTCTTTTATTTTAAAGAGAACATTTATTCTGAGGTATCGATTAATCGTATAAAATAAATAATGGATACGATAGTTTTACGTCTATGTCAAGAAAGTGAGATTTTAATTATTTGTTTATATCAATGTAAAATAGAAAGCGAAAAATGAATGCTTCTACAGATGACATGTTAAAATGATGATCATGATATGAATAGAACAATGAGCATCATCGACTGTCAAAAAAAAGTTTGATCGATAGCAATAGATTTTTTCTCTCGGTCGTCTCTTTTGTTTCGCACGAATACACATTTTTTAAAACAACTATCAAAACAATTGATATTAAACAAGACATACCTAAAGAACGATGCATGAGTCCACTAGTATTGTTAAAACAATACGAGGAAAAAGAAATTGGTGGCCGACTGGAGAAATAGCGAAGTGGCGATGGCTTGTCACCAGCTGTCGTCATATTTTTGAATTAAGACAAAATGTAAAAAACCATAGCATTTCTTTTCCAGCTGGTACGTCCTCTACTGCCAAAACGTTGCTCTTTGTACGTGAGTCTATGTCAATCGTTCGGTTGGTATGGTGTGTTTACGTGAAGATATCATTACCATTATCACCGTCATGTACCTTTTTTTTCTTCTTTTCTTTCGCTCGGTTTTTTTTACGTCTTCGGTCGGTCTCTTTTTTATGTGTTCATCACCAATATAATTGCTGCAAGGCGATGATGTATGGTGAGCATATATATGTATACAGGCCCATATATATATATATATGAAAGGATGTTCCGCTTGTACGACTGTATGTCACTGAGGGATTCATGTTATATATTCATCCGAAGAAATAATATTATTATATGAACAATCGAATAATCTTTCTTTTCTATCTGTAATCATCAGATGCGTTCAGAATAACTGAAACAAATAATGCAAGCTGAGAAGAGATACAACGGATTAAAGCGAAGGTTCAATTTATTCTTATACTTAATATTTATTTAGTATGTCTCCACATCATTCTTTTATATTTACCAATAACTTATTTGATTTTATAATAACTTTTATAAAATATCGCCAAGATATATTGTCTATTGTTGTTTTGTATTCTCTATAAAGATATGATCGATGTTGAGAAGAGAAATATCTTTTTTGATCATATGAAATGAACTTTTCGTTACTAAAATCTTTAAATTTCTTTGGTCAATGAACCACTTACAGAAATATTTGAAGAAAGTAATTTTTTCCTTCTTACTGTAAAAGAACTTTTCGAAAGAGAAAAAATCCTTCGCATGGCAATCCTGTCAAGTCAAATTGACAGTTGACAAACAAACAGAATTAATCAAAAAATACAAGCCAAATAAAAGCAACGAAAGGATCGATGACTGAGAACGAGAATAAATGAAATGAGTTGATGTAGTGGTTAAGAGTTGTACGAATCGAAATTGATTTAAAGAAATTTCTTTCCAAGGATAGTTGAGATCAATTGGCTTCATATGGACAGTATAAAAGAAGATTTATAACAATTTAAAAATATACGCGACCGAAAAGTATATGTTTCAGATAGATAGATAGATATCATTATTAATTATGAATCAGCGTCATCTGAAGGCAAGTTCCTGTATTCTATTTGGAAAGGTAAACGAAATTTTTGATAGTATTTGCAATGATTTTATTTCGGAATAATAAGATGAATGTATCAATCGATTGATTACCAACATTTTTTTAGTAATACAAGATATTCAATAATGTGATAACTTGAATTAAAAACTCGCAGATGGCGACATAAAAATAAATTTATTATCAGTTTAATTTAAAAAATTATGTTTTACGACTGTGCACATGCATAGTGACTACTAATATTACAAATATTTGACATAGTTGATTTAAATTTAAATACAAACAGAGTTATGTCCAAAGGATAACATTATTGTTTACATAATGTGTAACCTTTGCATGAGAGACAAGCTGAAATCTATCAGATCACATTAATTGTTATCACTTGTTTCTTATTAAATAAGACGAATGAAGTAATATTGATACTGAAAATAAATGAATATTTGTTATTGTTGTTTTTACCTGCATAAAATATTATTGAAATTAGGATAAAAAAGAAAAATTCTGACAATAGTCTACTGTTTTTTATATTTACATTGTAGAAACATAAGTATTTGCTCGTGACTTTTTCCCATGTTTTGATCGTTTCAAAACTAATGAAATATTTTACCTATCAGCATTCTCAACTTTTTGTTTATATAGAAAAACAAAGAGAAAGCAAAAAGAAAAAAATGAGTGTTTAGAAAAAAAGAGAATCGACATTTATTTATGACCCTGAAAAGATTGAAATAATTGGCTTTTTTTTCATCGGCAGCTAACAATTTAAATACTCACAAACTTTCTTCATACATTGAAAAGAAGCGAGCATCGAATACTATTAGCTATAAAATCATGCAACGCGGTAGACTATTATTATTGAGATCTGTATTGTTCGTTCAACTGATATTCGGCTGCGTCTTAGTGAATATTTTTCATGGATATTATTCGTTGTATTGATATCTAGTTTAGCATCTATAAGTAGCAGAAGTGGCTGAATCCCAAAGTTTTACACAATAGGAAGACCTTTTTGATGACAATACTTGAAAAAAAATGATATTGTTTGTTTCCCTAGATATTTTGCATATTTCTCATAACTGATAAAAAAAACCTGTCGTAGAGCTTCAAGGTTTCTAAGATCATAAAAAAGAAATTATATCGACATGATAAGAATGATGAAAAACACAAACACTATACTGAAAAACTAAATATTGGCAGCTTGAATATGCAGCTGTCTACTTTCATGTTTTCTTTTTTTTCTTACGTTCGAATTTTTTTTTCATTTTCATTTTCATATTTATTGTGTTATTCTATGATACAGAAGAAAAGATTAGTCGTCATAAAGAAAAAGAAAAAATGAGATCTAGAAACTATTGTTACATAAATATTTTTTCGATTTTTAATGTATATTTCAAGGTCAAACGAATTACTTCTATACGGTTTGTACTGTTTGTGTGGTAACTATGGCTCTCAATACTTTTTATGAATCGAAGGAGCACATGAATTTGCCAGTCAATCAGATGCAAACTATTTAACAAAAAGTTGATAATAATAATGCATGTCTTCTTCAATTTGATAGATAGTTTAAAGGCAACAGCTGAAAAAAATCTCATAGATCTGGCAGTAAAATTCCTAAAAAGATTATACTTTCCATGTTCAAAATTTACATTGATCATTATATATTGCTTTTATTTTATTCTACTAGATTATTTATTAATTCAAATTCAATTTGAACGAATAATTCAACGAAATATAATTGATACTGTGAAGAATGTCTTCATCAAATTCGCAAAATGAACAGCGCAATAGTGTGCCACAAAGGTAAACTACAATCAATATTCAATAATTCTTTATTTGTTTTTGCAGAAGATTTGTTCGCATGTCACAGCGTGTAGAACCCCGTCCGAATAATCATGTTACAATAGTGCGTTCGAATAATCACCAGATTGTAAGTTTCAAAAGTATGAATGACAATAGACGATTCTATACCGATTAATAGCGTCGTCCTGTTGTTTTCGTCATCTACTATTCGATGTACGGTCATGTAGCAGGACTAGCATCGAGTATTCGAACTGGTGTTGAACATGCCGGATGTGATTGTCATATTTTTCAAGTTGCTGAAACATTATCTAATGAAACTCTTAAAAATATGAATGCACCTCCCAAACAAAAAAACATACCAATAATTAGACCTGAGCAGTTGCCTGAAGCCGATGGTATTCTATTTGGTATGCCAACTCATTTTGGTACAGCACCAGCACAAATGAAAACTCTATTTGATGCTTGTTCTAATCATTGGATGTCCGATGCATTGATTGGCAAACCAGTAAATCCTCTCCAGTTTTTGTTTATCAAAATGTTTTCACTTGCAATATTATATAGGCTGGAGTTTTCTTCTCAACAGCAACACTTGGTGGTGGTCAAGAGACTACTGCTCTTTCTTGTGTACCATTTTTCACACATCTTGGAATGCTTTTTGTTCCACTTGGCTATAGGAATAAATCATTAATGAATCTTGATGACGTTCATGGTGGATCTCCTTACGGTTTGTTTGGTTTTTTATTTGGCTATTTGTTTTATCATTGTTTGTTGTAAATATTATTCAACAGGAGCTGGCACATTAGCTGGAACGAAAGGTGAACGACAAGTATCTCAACTTGAACATCAACTTGCACATGTACAAGGAATTGAATTTGGTAAAGTCGTTTTAAAATTAAGCTCAACACCGAAATATGCATAATTTTTCTACGAATCTTCTCTCGACAGTATTCAAAGCTATCTTATTTTGTAAATATATTATCAAGTATTTATTTCTTAACAATATACATTTTAAAAGGCAATTATAATTCAAAAAATAAAACAACTGAACATTATAACACTTTCATTTTGAAATAAAACCTTATTGTATTGAATAAAAACGTTTTTGTTGTTGTTGTTGTTGTTGTGAGGAATGTTCATTTCATTCGTTTTAATATAATACAACAAGAAAAACGCTTCATAACTATATATTTTGAACGCTTTAGTCATTTTGTTTTCTAATGTTAATTTTTGACGATGTAGGTGTTGTTTGTTTACTGTTGATCATCGAGTTCATCTTAAAAGATCGCTGTCGGTTAAAACCCATGCCAAGTGGCGTAAATACGCTATTGTCTTTACGTATTTTTAAATATTCTTGATGTCGTTCGAATTCTTTTCTCCATGCACGCACATCATATTTACCCTTAGCTTTAGCAACTCGTTCTAGATATTCCGTGTTATTTTCTGGTGTGTTTATTGCTCGATGACGACGATTCGGACTCACAGAAGGAAATAATACTGTTGAGGATGATGGTGGTTGTTTAGCTTTTGTCATCATAATTTCAACTAATTTTTTTAATTTTGTTTCATTTTCTTTATCAATTGCATGGTGTTTAGTATTCATGTGTCTTATATAGGCTTCATGAATATGAGGGAAACGAAGTGGTTCACTATTATCTAAACCATTGTGATGTTGCATGTCGTCTATTTTCTTTAAATGAGCTTGTTGTTTACGTTCTTCAATTCTTAATTGAACGAGTGAAAAACGACTACAAGTTGAATATTCGGGCATGACGAATTAATCAAAAATAATTAATATTCTAAAATAAATAAAAAGAAAAATAGGTGGGCTTTCGTAGATTTCAAAACCTTGTTCTATAAATTTTACGTGTAATAGGTAAATATTCTTCTTGAAATTCCACTTGTTCCTTCAATTCAGATCGATCGAATAAATTTAACTTAAATCGCATACATTATGATCTTAATGGAAAAAATGCACACCGTAAAAGAAATCTGTGAATACATAGAGACAAGAAAGTGTTTTTACATCTCGTTACTCCCTCTCTATATGTTGAATCGGTGATTTAAGTAAACAAAAACTATAAAGTACTTCTTTATATTCTTTCTTTTTCGTTTTCATTGTATGAGATGAGAAGAAAGTTTTCTAAATTGATCGATGGCAAACGCATAAAGAAAGCATTCAACGTTTTAGTGATTTCGATGGATTATGAGGATTATATAAAGAAAAGTTTTAATTGGCTATTTTCAAGTATATTTGAGTGCCTATCAATAAATAATACTGTAAAAAATAATAAAAAAAATAAATACGATTTATCTTCTACTTATAGTGAATAAAAATAAAGAGATATACATTCGAATCGTAACATCGGATATTTTTTATCTTTCTTTGTCCTAGTTTCAACATATTTAGGCGTGAAATTTAACTGTGAACAAATAGCGCTATTTGTTTTTTCACTTTTTAAAAGAAACCAAAGTAATATCTTTTTTACTTTTGTAAACGTATGATAATTGTTAAAAGTGACCTATAAGTAAAAATATCAACGAGAATGAAGTTTGAAACAACATACAGAATTCCTGTCCCCATAGAAATAAAATTGATGAAGATAATAATTGTTATTAAAACTAATATGTTTACAATTATTTTATATCGTTTAGGTGTAGATTTTTGTCGTTTCTGATTATTTATGATATTCATGCTAGTATTATTGGTTATTGACGAGATGTAACAAAGGTCATATTTAGTAATGCATTTCATGATGGATCCTTTTCTTTTTCGTATATTTGTATGATTCTTTGACGTTTCGATGCTAATCAATAGCTACTTTACAAAATTTATTGTATATTTTTCAACTGAAAATTGGTGATATTTCAATACATTTTGTTATAGAATCATGTAAAAAAGAAAAAGTCATAATAAATATGACACACAAAAATATATCAAAGATTGATAACAAATAGACAGTAGAACGAAATGTGAAGATAACTGAAGAAGAAAATTATTTTTGTAGCTCTACTTTTTCACTTCCACTACCTATTCACTATGATGAAATGGTAGAGTTTACATGTCATATTTATTGTTATTGTTCTCTTTTCTTCGTCACTCTATGGCATATTTAAATGTTTAAAATTTTCAGTCGAAAAATTGCCAAATAATCACACATTTACAAAGAAAAAATTTATTTTAAATTTAATCAATTCTTAATTCTTTTTTGTGCTGTATTAGATTGACTTGCACACAATAATAATCATTATTATAATTATAATAATATTCCCGAAAGTATTCATTCTATATGGGCATTAAATGTTCAATAGGCGATTTCGTTCTATTTAGTTTAAGTGTTTCAAGCATTTACATTGATCATTATCATCGTCATTAGCTGCCTAAGTGTCAAATAAAAAGCTGATGGTACTGGTGTCATATGATTATGCATTACGGATATGTCACGAGCAATTAAATAAATGTATTTTCTTTTCGGTGATCCATTATAAGAAGACGTTTAAGCGTTCAATATTTTTGTTTTTGCAAACTTTTATTAACAACAAAATATGGAATACAAGGAAAATAAAGACTGTATTCTTCTGTTTCTTTTTTTTTCTAAAACATGCAATAAAAATTATATTGATTTGCTTTTGTGTTAATGCTTTATTTTGTCTCGTACGTATTTGCTCAAATCGATTTCAGGTTCTAATAAAAATACATGAAAAGCTCGTTCGTTCTGAGCTAAAGGATGAGCAGCAATTTTATTAATAAATGTTTCTAATCCTCGTCGTCGTTCTTCAATAAAATCATCTTGAAAAAGACCAGCATCTTTTCGAAATGGTAATTGTCTTTCCCAGGCAATGATAGTACAGCAATTTTTGTATCAGTCGGTTCTAATTCTTTATGTAGCCATTCAAAGTCAGAATGTCGTCGATGAACACTTGATTCTCGTTTACTAAACACTGGTAGAATGGTTTTCATCTTAACTGCATAATCAACTCATCGTCTTGAACCCGTGCCACGTATTTTAGATGAAATAACTGTGACTTGAAGTGCAGGTTCGGGCGACGCATATGAATTGAGCATGTTGTCTTATTTACTTTATGTGAGTTGTCTATGCGAGTGTTGTCAATAGAAGAAGTAAACGAAACAAAGATCAGATATCAATTCCCTTTTTCTTTTATAGATATGTTATTTCCCGTCAGTGCAGATATAATTACATCAGTATGTGTTAAATAACTTTTGTTACGTTTCCTTGCTTTGATTTTTGCTTTTTCTTATTTTAAAACTATCGTAATTTATAGAATAAAAAGAAAAAACTGAAAAATCAATAAATAAAACACTGTTCGAAGTGATAATAATAATGATTTAGAATGTGATGATGATAATGAGCGAAGAAAGAATTGTTGATTAGTGTCTCGTAAATATAATTTAGCTTCTTTACTTTGTGCATCATGACCATCTGAACAACGATATGAACCGCTATCATTGTAATGAGAAGCAATTATTTCCAGAGTAGTTACTGTTACATTAGATAATTCAATGGATGTTATTACATGAGTTGCATCAGGTACCAATGCTTTATTATCTATTAAAATAAATAAAAATCAATTCAATGAAAAATGAAAATATTTTCCTTTGTTTTCTTCTTTTAAACTATACCTTTCAGCCAAGTTACTTTTTCACTTGGTACTCGATGTTTGCCAGTAAAATTGCATGCAAATTTTGTTTTATCACCATTAAAAACAAGAGCAACAATTGGTTCAATATCAACAGTAATATCTATAATAAAGATATACTCGTTTGTTTTCTATTGACGTATAATGTCTACTTACTTCTATTCAATCATACAGATTATCTCCTTCTCATGTAGCTGTTTATTCTCCAATTATTACTCGACCATGATTATCTTTTCTATATATCAAATCTACTATCTGTTCGTTGTATGTGTATGTGTGTTTTGCTTCTCTCACATAAACATTGAATGTATGTGTTTGAGTGTTTAGTTTCTTACCTTCTACAATGAGTTTCACATTTGATCGAACCGATTTACGATTGTCTTTTGCTGCAACATGACATTGATAATGAGCTGCATCTGACAATCGTACATTAGTAATATGTAAATCCCATTTAGCAGGTGAGAGTCCATGATCAACACTATAGTATGCTACACTAAAACGAGAATCTTTTGTTATTAAATGTTGGCCAACATTGAGTATTGATTGACCCGGATTTTTTAATCTATACCACATAACCTATTCAAATAATAATAATAAGATATTAGAAGAAAACAAAACAATTTTCTTACTCTTTCAAATTCTACATTAGATGAAAGAGCTTTACACGGTAATGTAACTGATTGCATTGGTACACTAGTTACAATATAGTCTTGTTCAGATGATATAGGTAAGTGTTGCTCGACGGCTACAGAACCATGAGTACCTATATATATATATATATATGAAATATAAGAAAGAATTTTAAAAAAAAAGAAATTTTTGCTTATTAATATGTAAATATTCATATTGAAATTATTTTTACAGTTATTTTTCTATGAACAATATAGTCAAAACAGTTCCAAGACAGAAAAGATTATCCTACTCTGATTTTTTTTCTCTTGAAAGATCACAGACTATGATTATATACATATTCTTTATAGTTCCTTTGAAATTGAACACGCAAGATGCTTCAAGCTATGTACAGTTGTTCCACGCCACTTGAAACTGCCTCTCGAACTGTTATTCTTCTATATAGATGTTGACGAATCACTTGAACAATATGTCGCTGAAATTCGACCGGCAATCCAGAGATAGAGCGTGATGGTGCTCTTAATGATGAATATGTTAAAATAAAACGGAAGACAGAAAGACAAGTTTGACTGATTGTGTTGTTTGACATCGACAGTGCTTATCTATTTTATCGGCTTTTATCTACAGTGGAACTGTACTCAAGAAATGTTTAGAACCGGACAACATTGAAAAATAATAACTATAACAACAAGACATTCATTGTGTATACATGACACGCTGTTCTTTAACCAGTCAGTCAGTCAACAATTGCCCTTATTTGCATATGGTGCTCAATACAGGATACTATCATAATGTGACGTCATCTGTATGTACATTTCAATAATAAATACATTAACATTTTTTTTTCTTCAGAAAAATAATTATCAAATGATATTGTATTACAGATTACTTACGTATCGTCAAGATGAAAAAGATCAAGGCAATAATAGTAACCATCGGTAGTTCATGCTGAACAATTGTATATTTTACTAATGCAGCTATATAATTGATTATTGATGTTAGTATTTGATTTGTTTAATTATGAAAGTATATTTGTTGATAGTCGTTTAATAATTATGTGTATGTAGAATATATGTGTATATACGTATGTAATTCATCAGCTACCGAGGGAGCATTTTCATGCCAATTATAGTAGCCATACGAATGAGCGACTGAACGAACGAGCGAGTGAGAGAGAGACGATGGAACTGAACAGTACTTTTTTTTACTATTCTCCCTTCTTCTCTTTTCTTGCGATCTCTCTTGTCGCTTTCTCTCTCTCTCTCTTTCTCTTTCTCTGCCCCAGTTTTTCCTTCTGGCTGTCTTCGTGTCATCAAACAAGAAAACAAAATGAAACGAAGACAAAAGAATGGATAATAGAAATGACGACGAAAAAAGGATGACACGTATATGAACACGTAAACAAATATAAATTGAAATATAAGGGATTTAGTTAGTTAGATAGATAGATAGATTGATTGACATATACATCCCATGATCAATTGCTTAATAGAGCAGAAAATCACAATGGAATTTTCCTTTTTCTCGGCTATAGACAATTATTCTAATTACGAAATGTCCTTGGCTAACATGCGCTCAGTCTTTTCATATGCTAAATCTCCGAGAATACGTAGTAAAAGACGTGCTTGTCAATCATCGTTGTCGGTGTTCAGCCCTCAAGGAAAAGATCACTATCGTATGAATATAAGATATCATCAAGAACATTGCTTTAAGAAAGAAAAAAATAATAATGAAAAGTGAATAGAATGCTTCTCAGTCGGCTTGTTTGCCTATCTATTCAGTATTGAAATGACATGCACTATGGATAATATGGATTTGTAAATTATGCTTGACTTAATCAAGATTATGCCCATAATTTCTTGTACTATTGCTTCTTATATTCAATCAATATAGAATGTCCTTTTGGGGGAGTTCTTCAGTTTCTCGCTTGGTTGCTACTATTGGCCTCGTATGCATCTCTAGAGTATGGTCTATGATCACTGGGCGACACGAGTGATTGCATCATTGGTTTTTTTCTTCTTTGTCGTCTCTGCATCTTCGTTGTTCATTATTTATTCTCTCTTTTTTTGTTTCAAGGTTGCTATCATTAAGATCTAATTTCAGTTGATCCATGTTTTTTACATTTTACCCAGGCCTTGCCAATTTATTCTTAAAGCAAACAAATCATAAGGATGTGTCTAATGGAATTTTCGAAATAAGCCACGTAGACTGTCAAGCGGAAGAAAAAGCATAGTGCATCGCTCAAAGTTCTAATTAGCTTGTTAACAATCGAACGTCTGAACAGTCAATCGAAAACAACAACAAGGAAGTATGATCGAAAGAATTTAGGAGTTGAACCTTCTCTTTCTTGCTTGTATTTTAAGCTTTTTCTTGTTGTCCTTGGCGTTAAAGCAACACATTTCATGTGACAAAAAAAAGTTTAATATCAACTTATTCAGATTTCTATTAGACATTCTTATTATAACTACGAGTATAAAGAAACAAGAAAGTAGGTGTCTTTGAATTTGATCGTACCGTATTTGATGATCCAAGAAGAAACATAATAATAAAGAAAAATTATGCGCGATTATAATTAAATAGAGGAAGAGAAACAAAAAGAACAATACGGAAAGAAAAGAAAATTCTAGCAAAGAAACAAGAAGAAAGATCGATAATTGACTTTTTTTTCTTGTTTCCTTGCTTTATTGAAAAGCCCTAGGGGAAGACGATTGAATCCTACGATCACTTATATTCTACAATGTGTACTGTCGCTCTGTCTCTCTCTCTCTCTCTTTGTTATAATATAAATATATTTCATTTACGTTTTTTCAATATAATAAAAAAAAATATATGTATATATTGATATAAAACTGAGAATAGATACTAACACTTATGATCTATTTAGCAAGTGCAAGGTCAATCGTTAGGAAAACATACTTAATGTTTACTTTCACTCAATCATATATTATTGCCTTTCTAAGGGAGTTCTTTTTTGTTTTTTCTTGCCTCATTTTACGTTGAAATAAGATCCAGTTAGATATGATAACATTATACTATGATATATTTTCATACTGAAATGAACACAAATCTCACATAGATTGTAACATGTATTGAAGACAATATGTCACAAAAATAAAATAAGAAAAGAACAAGAGCCTAGTTTTTGTGAAAAAACCACTTTTATAAGTATCATTTCCAGTAATACAATGAAAAAAAGTTTTCAAACAATATTATGAAAGTTTTGATTCCTATTCATCACATACTCAAAAACAACAAGGAAAAAAGAGACTTCTTAAGTAAATGGATAATATTGCAAAACTGTTAATGTTGTCATCGCTTCTTTCCTTTTTTTCTTTTCATGCTATCGAATAATAGACACACTCTCATACTTTAAAAATTGACAAAACTCACTCGAGTTACTACATTGAGTTACATAGGTTTAATAACAAAAAAGTGATGCGTTTCTGGCGACCATTTCATACATATTCAATAGATATTATATCGAATTCTCCAAACAAATTAGTTTTTCGTGCACCAGAAGATGTTCGCCTTCGAATGACTGCTGATCATCTTGATTTAAATCAAAATCCTGGTTCATGTTTTACTCATTACAATCATGATACCTGTTTGTGGGAATGCTATCATTCATCATTTGTAACGGGTCATCATCGTCTTTTTATTTGGCTTTTAGACAGTGATGATGACGACGAATGGGCCATTGCTGCTAGATTTGATGTTTCTATTGAAGAAAAAGTAGACTCATTTATCTATCCTATTACAACAAGTGTCTTTAATTCACTACGATGTCAATTGATTACACCGATGAATGGTATTTTCTCAAAAGAATCATTACCATCAGAAATCATAGTTCGTGTGCCTTGTGTTCATGATGTACAATTGCAAATAGATGAAGCAATATTAGTCGTAGGAAAGAGTCTTGTCAATAATTGTTATAGACTGAAAATTCCATCTGCTATACCTAATCATGTGAAAAATTTTGTACTAATGGGTTTATGCTTTGACGATATGCATTATTCTATATTGATTACATATAAAATTGAATGAAAAGTCAAACAACTACAGCTTGATTTCTTCTACTAAGCTTTTTTTTCTAAAATAAATTATTATTTCGATTGAATTGCATTCCAAATTTCATCAAGATCGATTTCGTGAAAATTTGTAGCCGTTCTCCATGTGCCATATTGTTCTAATGTTTCCTTTTTTGCTGATGTTAATATACCAATACATTTAATTCCAGCAGCAACAGCTGCTCGTACACCTGATACGGAGTCTTCAAAAACAATACATGAATTTTTATCAACATTCAAGCGTTTCGCTAATTCCAAATAAATATCCGGGTTTGGTTTACCTTTATTTTTTTGTAAAATATAGAAATAGAAAGTGAAATATTCGAAGAAAAATGATAACTTACCAATACCGAATTCTTCCGACAGTAGTGCAACATCAAAGAATGTTTTTTCATCAAGTTTTAATAAGCCTAATTCAAATTCAACGTTCAAACGTGGTGCATTTGTTGCTAAGCCTCAAATTAGATATAGTTATAGTTTTTAAAAGAATACTTCTATGTTATACCAATTTTTAATTTTGAACGATTTGCTTTTATATATTCAATTATTTTATCAAGTCCTTTGGTTGGTTGCAGCTTTTCTTTTGCTAAATCGCGAAATAATAATTCTTTTCTAACTGCTGCACTTTGTTGTTTGTCATCAGATAGATTTGATAACAAATCACGTGTTATATCAGGATTTAATCGACCTAGATTGTATATATATATATATGCATGTGTCTCACATAAGAAATCAATACATAAAATGTTAAAATTCTACCAGATATGTGTTTATCGAAAAATGCTCGATCAATTAAATGTTCATGAGGATTCATTTCTGCAAGAATTTTTTGCCAAGCTTCAAAATGTACTGAATCAGAATCAACTAATGTACCATCGAGATCAAATAGAATTGCATGCATTTTTATTTTTGTTCTAAAAAAAAATTTTTTTCTATCTTAAATTTGTATTGATCATGTTGATTTTTCATATTATGTATGCAAAAAAATAGAATAGCAACAAAAATAAAATATAATAAAATGCTAGTCTTAATACAAAATTATATTTTCTATATATTTTTTGTCTAATAGTTCTTTAACTTTTAGTTTCAAAACGCATTGCCTCTTGCGCAGTTTTCATTAGTAATAAATTGATATCAGGCGTTGGCAAAACATTTTCATGTGCTAATGCCATACGACGAGGAAAAAATATATAATCGAGCTAGAGTTAAATTAATGAAAAAGAAAGTATGTGAAGATTAAACCGATGATTGAAAAATAAAGTTTTTTTTATATTACCGGATAATTAAGAAAATTACAAACATTTGATGTATAAACATCAGCAAAACGAGCTAAACGACGATGAAAATATGTTGGAACTGTATAAGTTCGAAATATAGAACCAAAATAAGGATTAAAATAATCACGAGATTTTGTTCTAGAAATAAAGAATGAAGACACAACAGAATTTTTAAAATATTCTACCTTTCTTCTTCTCGTTCAGCGACCCATAGTTTCATGATTTCATCAGCTTCACGACCTGGAATCACCTTCCAATGAACGAGCAAAAAATAATTTATATAAATCGAGTTGAATATTTTGTGAAAGATAGAATTATCTAAGTTTCAAAATTAATAAACACTAATAAAATAACAAACGGTTAATGATACTATGTTAGAATTTCTACGAGCTATTATTAGAGTAATCAATTGAAATTATTTTCATCAGTTTCTTTTTTGTTGAGTTCAAATTTATGAATGTATATTTCTGCGGATAATCTAACGTACTTCAAGTTGATGACAAATATAAAAGATGATCATAGGCTACATATTTGAATGGGTTTAAGTATTTTTTATTCATTATCAGCAAACTACGTCGATACTAGATTACTGATGAATTTGATTTGCCTGGAAGTATATACAGAGAGTAAAATTTAAGAAGACATAATAGCAGATAAAAAAGATTCAAAAACTAGTCAATAATATAGTTTGCCACCAAAATTTATCGAATCAATTTTATTAAAAATTTTATGAATAGATTTCGATAAATTAATGTACAAATTTCTTACAGCTAACAGTTTTAAATGCGATCGTATGTTTCAATTAGAGAGATTTAAATTTTTGCATACCTGTAATTGATCGATTAGCCATTGAAGAACATTTAGCTATTGAAATAAAGAAGATGCACAATACATGGTGATTGGTTTTTAAAAATATATTACCCATCGAATAGCTTTTTGAAATGGTTCCGAATTAATCACATTAATTTCATCCTTGAAATCAACAATAATAATAAAAATTTTCATTCATAATCTAAAGCACAGTTTACTTTGACTTCTTCTAAAATTGCGCCTGTTCTCCATCCATGTGTAAGAAATAAGTCCTTTGAAAACAAATTTGAATGAAAATCTTATTTTTGTTTTATTATATACGTACTGCTAAATCACCGTAAATATGATCACCAATATAGAGAACATCATGACCTTGCCAGTTTGTCATTTGAACAAGCGTTGTAAGATTACCCTTAACGAAAACAATTAAAAAATTATGTTATTTTTTTTCAACAAGAATGAAATTTACTTCAACATAAACTTTTCCGTTCTGTAATTTATGTACTCGATCCCAAGATTTTGAATTATTATGAGTATTGATTTCTCGAAATGGTCTAAAAAATTAAAATATTATATTAATAAATCATAATTATTATTATAAATAAACAATTGAAGAAACCTTTTTTGTGCACCAAAAAATGATGGTTTTTTCGCTTGACATATAATAATATCAAAAAAATCTGTCCAACTTTTCCCAAGTAAATAAGTCATGCCACAATTAACGTACCAATAGTTACTATTTGTAATTAAAAATATTTGCTTATTGGCATCACGAAGTCGCAGTAAAAATGGTTTTAAACGATCATTTTCTTGAAAATATTTTTCTAGCGAAACAATTATGATTATATTTCAGTAGATGTAGAAATCAAATATTATACCAACAGCTTGACCAACTATTTGATGCATCATACCACTTTTATGAAAAACACTAACTGCTTCCTTAATTTTATTAATAGAAATAACTTTTATTCAGTTTAGCTTTGCAGTACATACTCGAACATCATAATGTACATACTCAGGTGCAAATGGAATACTTTTATCGATAAAATACTAAAACAGAGAATTTTAAATATTTATAAATTTTAAATTTTCTTGATCACTATATTTCATACTTGAGTAACATCTCGTAACAGTGTTATTTCAGATATTGTAAAAATATCAACAAACTGAAACATATTTGGTGTCATTCCAAGATAACCCACTTCGTCAACAGATAATTTTGTACCATGATGCGCAGCAATAACTTCTTCGTCTGGTACTTGTCGCATCCCACTTAAAACGAAAACACGGATATTTATTTCAATTCTTGAATTATATTTACTGATAAACAGTGCCTAATTGAATATTATGATAACTATCAACTTTCATTAACCATCCACGTTTTATATCGAGATGAAGACCACGTGCACCCATACCAGGTCGAAAGCAAAAATCCATTAAATGATCTGGATACTAAATTGAAGAAACAAAAAGAGAAAAACGTGATATTTATTGAATATCTAGATAGAGTACTATACTCGTAAATTTTTAACGAGAAAAGTTTTAGCATGATCATAGATTAGTGAATGTAATGTTGGTTTATATGTTGCTAATGTATAATCTATTTGAAAAAGAAACAATCAATCTATATATTTCTCATAATTTGACATTGAATAACAAACCAAAGTCAAAACCATAAACTTTTATTCTTTCTAAATCTAATTCGTTATTGGCAAAGATTCCATCTGGATTCATTGGCTCGGAATAAGACGCTGTCGAAGCTAAAATATTTAGATATTTAGCAAAATTTCTAATATAAAATTGAAGTCTTACTTAAAGATTCCTCTTTAAGTAGTTCATATATTTGTTGTAAATCTTTCAGCTGTCTTATTTGATGAAACGATCGTTGAGATTGACTGAATACTTGTCTGATTAATTGAAAGTATTGCTTATAGTTGCGCAGCATTATATTAACTATTGACTTAAATATAAATACTAACTAATGCGACTGTTTCATTAATTAAGAGCGAATTTTTCTCTTTTCATAACTTACTATATAATCAATAAATAAGGCATTTGATGAAATTAGCCAGTTCTAATATAGATCGACAGAGGTCTATAGGAGGCGAATATGATGCCTGTAACTATGTCTACATACAATGAATATAACTATCTACTTTATTTATGATATTGACAAGGAAGAATACTCGATTATCTTACCAGTTTTACTAGCATGATTGTTCAATAAGATATAGTTTATCATTATTAGACACAACTTATATGGTAATTCCTCTGAACATGCAAGCAGTTGTAAGATTTAAATCATAAACAATTATTTAATTATGTTCATTGAAGATCGTAAAAACAATTTATTTGTTTAATTGAAAATGTTTTCTATACCACTTACTCGAAAAATAAATGCAATGACACATCAACGTTTTTCATATCATTCTTTTTTCTTTAACAATAATAATTAGTTTTCAGGTAATTATTATGTATAAGAATATAAATAGCAACTCCAAAGGAAACCATTCAGCTTCTTTACGAGAGTTTTACTATGCATTTAGTAAAAAACGTCGTTCAGTTTCTTTTCATAGTATCAATCAGATAGGATTTTTCTATTAATAATGATCAGTGTTCAAGAAATAACAACAACATTCAAGTATAGGTTTACTATCAATTCAATGGTTGTGATTGTCTCGAGAATTTATACTTAAATATGTGTACACAAAAAGGAGATGATCCATAATTCGTGCATCTACCTTCAGTCATCAATCAAATCTTTAATTGAAGCTAACGCCAGCAGCATTTTTGTAGTTTTGTTCAGTTCTTCAGTTGAAAACTGTTTTTTTCTCAGAATCCATTGACATGTAAGAAACGACGAAATCAACAATTCATTATTTTTTAATCTTATTCTTCATTTTTTCGAGCATTCAGCTCGCGCTTCGCACCACATGTGTCGTATGTGCTTTCTTTCTAAACAAATCCCATGGGATAGTTCTTTCTTTCTTTTATTATTGAAAACAAGTTAACAAAAACAAGTAGCTACTAGGTTTAGGTTTTCACAATTTTTTCCTTTGTAGATTTGTTAGCAACTTGTTGATTTTTCTTTTCTGATGATGATACATTTTTTTCATCTTCTTTCTGCATCGCTTTCAATGGAATAAAATCTGTTAGTTCGTATTTAATTCCAGCTGCTGCTAATTTTTGTTGTTGTTTCAATAATTTTGTCGTGCGACGTTTATTACTTTTTTCGATTTGTTCATTGGATTTAACACGATTATGAAGAGCTCGTTTCTGTTGTGGTGTTTTCACAGTAAATAATCGTTTCCAATTTTTAAATAATTTTTCCGTATCAACTTTGGTTCTGTCCATTATACGAGACTTGATTAATGAACGGAACATTAAATAACCATTCATTGTCTCTGATGCAATACGTGCAACATCTTCATCTTCAAATTCAATGTAAGCATAACCACGACTGCCACCGGTCTTTTTTGAGCGTATTAATTTTAAACGTGTAACAGGACCAAATTGAGAGAAATACGAATAAAGTTCACGTTCAAAAAATCCATACGGTAAACCAGATAAACGTATGAGACCAGGTTGAATAGTAATTAATTTATTTCGTTTCATTTCCGATTTTTTTATTTTACGCTTTTTACTTCCAGGTACAGATGGTAATGAAAGTGATTGCTCTGCTTCTTCTTCTTGTTGCTGTTCATCATCCGAACTGGAATCTTCGGCATCGATAAGTCGATCATCATCTTCATCGATTATGTTGGCCATAATAAAAAAAAATGGTTATCTAAAATCGAAAACACAAAAGTATATTCCGCTTGTTCTTATAAAACAAAACAAAAAATTAAAAGATATCTGTAAATGACAAAATAAACCTATAAATACGAGAATTATGAATGATTAAAACTATTCAGAAATACAATAAATTATTTGGTCACTATTATCAAGAAGAATGTTCAAGATAGGAAAAAGAAATATCACAGAAGGAAAACAAACAACAACAAAAAATTAAATAAATAAATAGTTTTATTTTTTTCTAGGCTGCTGTTGGACCATTCGTTGGTGTTCAGCTTGAGTCAATTCAATATCAAGCTTTGAAATGGTATTCATCAGACTATCTCGTTCGCCGCGTAAAACAGTTATTTCGTTTTTATGTGCATTTAACTCTGCACGAAGTCGTTCATTTTCTAGTTGAGTCAATTGTGCTTCGCGTAATTTTTCTTCAATATCAGCATAATCACTGTTCGACTTCGATGGCATAGCTTTAATTGATTCGCCTATATTCAAAACAAGATTATACATACGTATATGCTCTGTAGTAAAAAGTAACGATTCAAAACTAACCTTCATTCTCAAGTGTTTGAATCATGATGTGTCCATCCTTTTGTCTAAGAATATGCATACGTGCAATAGTAACTTTAACTGGTGGCTTTATTTCTGCCATTGCTTCTATTGTTGAATATTCCTGAGCAATCTTAAATAGAAAAACTGAGATTTTAAGAACAATGGCAATAATTAAATTCGTATACTTCAAGTGAGAATTGCACATTATCAAGATGTATATCAATGGTGGGAGTTTTCTGTGGTTGACTTTGTCTTAGACGTTTTTCTTCAATTGTCCGAATTTCTTCCAGATTTTTTGAAAGTATATCAATTGCATGATTAGTCATAGCGAAAGTACGATTTTCTATTTTAATAGTAATAATTGGTAGTGAATTTGATTTTCCTTTTGGAAAATCAATACGAACATCAATGGGTGGAACACTATCATTATTACATTTATCTATTAAGAAGAAGAAGAAGAAGAAGAAGAAGAAATTTTCATAGATCAGAACTCATTTAAACGTACCAGGACTTTCATTTTCGAATAATTTTGGTTTAAGGGAATCAAATTTTAACGAATGAAATTCATCAATACGTAAATGTTTCACATTACAAGCAATATATAATGGTTTACCAAGTTTTTCTTCATCTTCAGATATACAAATTTTTATTTGATTTAATTTAAGAAATGTACCATTAATCTATTATAGATAAAAAATAAAATGAATTCATTTTTACTCAAAAAATAAACATACTGATTCTAATGCATTAGTTCCTATGACATTATTGTCAGTATTATTTTTTTCTGTTGAATTCATACTATCATCATCAAGTTCTATACGTGCTGGTTTTTCTGGTGGTTGCTGTTGTTGTTGTTCATAATCACTATTTAACACAGCTGGATCAAGATCAGCATCTAAATCTTCACTCAATTGATCCCATTGTTGCGATGATGCTTCATCGCCATTATCAACCATGTTGACTAATGATGTTTGTGAAGAACCACGTAGACCTTTCGATGTTAATTCTAGTCCACGTTGAATATTTTCTTCTACTTTATTTCTTTTCTGTCCTGATAGATTTAGACTTCTATTTAAAAAGCTATTTGAATTCTTATTATCTTCGGTCATATTCATCAACGATGATGATGATGAAGATAATTCGAGTTTAGCTGTACTAGCAGAATTGTCTGTGGTTGATATGGTCGCATTGGTAGCAAAATTTGAGTTCGATATATTATGTTTTATAGATTCGATTTCTGCTTCGAGTGAACTAGACGGAGGAGCTGATTTTGAAATATTAATCATAATATCTTCGAGGCCATCTATAACAGCAAGTGTAAATTTTGCTGGAGAAAGTAAACACAAAGTTATTTTTATATCATTTGAAAGAGTACTAGTCGGTGATGATTTTTGTTGTAACTGTTGTCTTATTAAACGACTTTGAACTTTGTTTCGTTCAAGTACATCAAGAAATAAACCAAGTTCATCGACTAGATGCATAATAAATGTATATTGCTTTTGAGATATTTTTAACATCGTTGATGTTTCAAGAACACTTAAAATATTAATCCAAGGTGACGATATTGAAGATTCAACTAGAGACGATAAATTATGTGATGCTTCAGAAAAGTAGATACAATATTACTTTGTTGTTTTTCATCGAGTACAGCCCAACTTGATATGGAAAACGAATCAGTCATATTCTGTTTTGCCAATCGAACAGATTCCAATGGAGATGCTGGTGTAAAATCCATATAAATACTTTCAGCATTCAGATACCAAATATCGTATTTTGCAGCCTAAGAATTATAAAAAAAAACAGGATATGAAATATTCATTCTCCAAGACGGACTTGACGATAAGTTATAAAATGTTTGATGTTCGTTCTTTAGGGATAGTTGCTATCTACATTCTCATCTCTATCAGTTTATATCAGAATTATCGATTATTAACTCTCAGTAGAAAATTTCATACGATCAAGATCAACAATTACGCAGGATGCAGTTCTGCAATTTGATCATTGATCTATATGAAATACATTTATTGACTTCTGTATGTTTCAATGTGTCTTAATCTAAAGTAAGACTTGCTTAGAAAGAAGAAGAAGAAGCAAAGTAATTTAATACCTTCTTCAATGAATCTGTTGTCATTGTATAATATGAATGTAGAGCTGTATTGGCCGATTGTGGTTCAGATAATAATTTACCAATTGTTTTAGCTAACGGATTAGTATACAAATATGTTTCATACGAGTGTTTGTCGAACAATGAACTAATACGTGACGCATTCGATGAATCATTGGCTAATGGCCATACATTTTGTTGGAAAAAATTTGTCGTTTTAAATAATGCTAAATATTTTTCGAACTTATTTCGGCTACTTATTGATTCCATGCGACAATTTGTCAATATTATTTTTGAAATATTTAATTCAAGTACTTCAAGTTTTTCCTGATTTGATATTTCATTACGAGTTAAAATATCTGACATAGGAATATTTTCTTGTTTCGCTTCTTGTAATTCATGAACACCAGAAAATATATCTGAACTGATAACAATCTAAGTAAATGAATAAAAAACAAAGAAAATAATTATAAAAAACAATTGAAACAAATTTTTTCTATACTCTTGGTAACATAGCTTCCATTTTAATAGCTACATGTTCAAGATCCGTACTAGGTTTATCAGTTTTCAAAAGACCTGAATTATCCTAAAGAAGAAACAGAATATGAGAAATAGGATTTTTTCTCATCAAATTTTCTTTACTATAGTCATCGATAGTGATGAAATAAAAGCATCAAGCCAACTGAATGTTGCAAAGTCAATACGCATGACAACAGGCATTATTTGAATATATAAATCACTATGTGGTACTAGAGATTAAAGGTTGAAGCGCATACTAAGAAGAGTAATTTTTATTTTATCTTACCCGGAAACGCATAAGGTAATGGATAATAATATTCAGTATGTTGAATATTAACAACACCTAAAAATTCTGGTAATTGGTATTGTGTTCTATCGGATGTAATCAATGGTCGACGACGTTTTTGTTCTTGGTGTTTTTTTGAATTGCCATGCAATGAAACAGGATAGAGTACAAGATCATCTATATTCATAACAGTGCACGATTCAAATAAACGAATACGATTTGTTCGAAGAGCTCTTTCTAGTTTTGCAGCTAGAACAAAATAACTTCTTGATTATTTTATCTTTGGTTACCACACAAAACTTACACATTTCTTCAGTTGGTGCGTTATTTTTAGCAGCATTGAATTCTTCACTCCACTCTTGTTTTAATCGCGTAGCCCATTCATCTCGATTTAATTCTAACATTTCACCATATTTTATCCAATGTTTTTTAGATGAACCATGTTGATGATAAGGATAATGATCAATAGATAAATTTGCTAATGTCACTTGAAGTGCACCACTTGGAGCTAGTCGATCGCCTATAAAACAAAGCGGAAAACATGATTAAAAAATTCATATATTTAAATCATAATGAATAACAACAATAACGAAATCAACATCAACGAGACAATATTGAACGTATTATCTTACACATGGAATGAAGATGAGATTCTGAGAAAATATTGAAAAAATGCTTGAAGTTTTATATAGAAATGATGTATTTTTGTTTTGTTTTAGCGTAAAAGACACATTTTACTTACTGAGAATGTCAGAATCAGCAATAATGTGTATATCAAATCGTTTAATATTAAAATGAAATGATGTTTCAATAACATCATAATGTTCAAAGGGATCATTCGATTGTTGTTGAACGTTAAATACATTCGTTGAATTTGATAGATCACTATTGCCTGTTGTTGGCGGTTTCGGTTGAAGTGTTGATGGTTGTTGTTCTGATTTCTAGATTATGTTAATCTTATAGAACATTTCTTATGATCAAGAAACAAAAAACAAATTTTCATCTTTAATAGATAGATACAATAGAAATTATTTATGAGCTTCGTATTTCACGCGTTTGTTTTATGCGTATTGTAGCAAGCTATCCGATTATTACAATTTATTTGGCATGGCCTATTCATTTAGCAATTAGAGCATCACTTTGCTAGCAAGTAGATAATCTAGAGTTCATCCCAAATAGCACTGTTTTCTTTTTTACTAGTCGAAAAATAACGAAAAAAGCAACCCCGTAAGCTAAAATCAATAAAAATGACCAAAACTAAACTAAACAATGATCATCATCAACATATGTTTATCTATGTTAATCAAGCAGAATCAAACTATGTAGAAACTTTAATATACCGAAATTGAATAAGTTCTGTCTTGTTTTGCTGAAAAGTTAGACAATAGCTCATGGAATAATAAATACTTCGAATCCTGTTAAAAGTATATTCAATGGCCACAAACAAAATTAGTAAATAAATGATTTGGTAAAATAATGGAACTAATATTTTTTATTGTTCGCAAATTTTTTTTATCTTGTTTCCTTATTGACTATTATTTATTTTTTAGGTAGCTTTTAACGAGGAATAATAGATAGCATATCAAGTATTTTCTTTTGTATTCACTCAAACGTCTATACAATGTGCCCGACGTGCTGTAACGAAATGCCTTCAACTCTCTCATTTGTTTTATTATTATTATTCAGATACATTGGATCTATGCGTGACCTAATCAAAATTGCAATCAACAAGGGAATTCATATTCCATTATTTTCTATTGTTGGCATACAGCTATTTTCCGATCTTTAAATGCAGTCACGAAAGTAATTCTCCTAATTACTGCTACTAACTTACGAGGGAACGTTGTGAACTGTCCAATCGTTTTTTCTATAGAAATGATTGATTTAGAGGTTATCGATTATACTGATTCCGAATATAACTATCATGTTTGCCCAGAGGCCTTTCAATATGGTTTTCTTGAAAACGGTTTTTCCAAGCTGAAACCTTATTTGTTGAATTTTGTTTTTTGGATTAGTCCATATTGTAAAGTACACAGAATTGCCTATAGAACAAGTGTTTTTTTTTGCTTATTTGAAGCAGATCTTGAAAGGCGTAAAGCATTTTCAATTGGATGCTGCAGTATCAATCAATTACGAATTAGAAAAGGTTTGAAAGTTTCAGATAGAACTATAGCTGTAAATGAGTCTAATTTTCAGTAAGATAGCTTTAAAACTAAAATGAAAACATATCTTGTGCAATAATCAATGTCATGTCGACTCTCGACTTTGGCAAAAGGCGGATAACGATAATTAGAGCACCAGCAGATACGATTTGTTTTTTTGTTTTTATTTCAAAAATATTAGCTTCGTACAAGTGAAATAGATTCAAAATTCGAATAAGAACAAAAACGATAATAAATTTGAACCCTTAAGAATAAGCATACTTAAGTTAAGAAAATTTGTTCATCGGTACCTTTGGTGAAATTAATCTGACTAAACTATAAAGTAAAGCTAATCGTTATTCATAGTTCAATGTGTAATATCTACAAAGAAAATGGCTTTCAAATGCTTTCACCATGTTCACATCTAGCCATAAAAATGATATTCGATAAAAAAATAATTTGAATTCTATCTACCGTTATCAGCAACGTTAAAAGGTTCTGTTTATTTAAATCGTCAAGTTAAGATTTTTACTTGAAAGTTATTCTTTAAGAGACTAAAAAGTAATGTTTTATGATCTTAGGCATCATTTCCAGTTCTTACACGAATTTTAAATGCTTTGTGACTTTCAAGATCTGCTTCAAATAAGCAAAAAACACTTGTTCTATAGGTAATTTTGTGTGCTTTACAATATGGACTAATCCAAAAAGAAATTCAACGAATATAGTTTTCAAGAAAACCATTCTAGAAAGGCCTACGGGCAAAAATGATAGTCATATTCGGAATCAGCATAGTCGATAACCTCTAAATCAATCATTTCTATAGAAAAACCGATTGGACAGTTCATAACTAGGGGTGCCCCTTTATCCTTATTTTCCTTTATATTAAAGGATAAAGATAAATGAATCCGTTATCTTTAGAAAATAAACATAAATGATTGAAAAAGCATCTATAATTTAGTTTTTTAAAGATAGATGGATCATTTACGTTTAGAAGATAATAGAAAATGATTGAAACAAAATTTATCATTTATTTTCTAAAGATAAATGAATCATTTATCTTTATTTAGTAAAGTAACACTAAATGACCACCCCTATTCACAACGTTTCCTCGTTAGTTCAAACATGCCTATTAGTTATAGAAACCAATGTTTCCATCGTAAAACCACTTGTATTCTTTCATCAGCTACTCAAACTGAAGGGCTCTCATAAAACAAATTTTACATATGTCATTTATTTTCTGTTTGTGCTTTACTTTCTCTATTTTCAGAACATCGAAAGCAGCCATCTTATTTGCTGCTTTTGTTTGCCACTCACTATGCTACAGATCGTATGGTTCTATGTTACCTACAATTCTAAAGCGATAACAACAAAAGAATATTTTTACTTTACCGTTAATTTATCACCAGCTATACGTTTCTTTTGTTCCAATGCACGTTTCATTAGATGTGTAATTTCTTTATAAGCATTCAAAGCTGATTTTAGTTGTGCATCATTAAAAACTGACAAAAGATCATCAAAATGAATCATAACACGCGATGTTACCATAGTACTATCTATAATTCAAAGAGATTTCATTTCTCTTGTTATTCAATAATTGCAACAAAGAAAATATGAATAACCTTGCAAATTTTTCTTCATAGAAATTCGTATTCGACATGCATTGGTAATCAAACGTATAGCTGCAGCTGCCATACTATAATCATTTGATGATGCTTCAATGCGTGCAGTTTGCCATGAGATTTCCTTTCATATAGACAAATATTTAATTCTAATGTAAAAAGCAAAACGTTTATGAAGTCTACTTTGAACAGAAGAATGTAATCTTTCGTTGAATTACGAACACGAGTCAATTTCAATGTATCAACTCGTTTTCCAAAAGGTGTTGTACTATAAATCTCCAGACTTGGTAGCTAAAGAAAAACGTGTTAAAGCATTTGTTAAATGAAAATCTGCATTTTTACTTACAAAAATTGATGCTTTAAATCCTTGAGCTTTTACGGCAAATGTTAAATTCGTTATGGTCAGTGAAATACCATCAATAACTCGATTTGTAAATCCATATTTACCCAATAATCTATAGTATAACTTTTGAGTGATTTTTAAAGATAAAAACAAAAACACTATTACGGGTCATTGGAGTTCGATGAATCATTTGAATTATTTAAATCTCGTAGTTGTTCACATGTTTCAATTTCGACTGTGACATTATTCAATTGCTAAATAGTTGAAATTCACATCTTTGTTTTATTGAATTAATTTTTTCTTACTATTTGAATTGGTGCTGTCTTTAAATTTGTCCAAGGGATCTAAACAAAATCAAAGTTAAAAAATTCTGCTTGCTTTACAATATGGTTGTTTTACTTTAATAAAAACTCGAGCACATGTTGCTTTTCGAATCTTGAGCCATGTAGGTAATTCAATAAGATCCTCTAATGCGTGTTCGTCTAAATCGATTGATGATAATTCACCTTCCCCTTTAAATGTACTTAAATTGATTTGATTTGATGCAAGATTTTTCACAAATCTATTATTTATACAAGACATCGAAAAAAAACGAAAATTTTACAAACAATAAAAACTTCACGAATTTTCTAACTTTGATAAACGCTTTATAATTTGACTTTTAATTAATGAAGCCATTTAACACATGTCAATGGGTGCAGAATTTTGAAAATACTAAGATATTAAAGAAGAAGAAGAAAATTTCTTATTTTTTTATTCCAATAACAATAGAAGATACATTTATGATGATCAAATCCAAAGAATTATTTATAGATGTCAGTAAAATCGACACAGATTTCAGTTAATTAAAAACAAAAAATCAATGTTTTGTATGTATAAAAATTCCTTGCACCTCTCCAGATATTTCTGTTGCATTGGTCGTTGAATTCATATTATTATTTATCCATTTATTTTCAATATGTTCAATATATTCTTTCATATGAACTTGTTCACGTTCATTTGGTTTACCAAAACCTCGTTGAATAAGATCAATTAACTGTTCAAGTAAACGATTTGTTTGTAAAAAATTTGTTTCAATAATATAAGCAAGATTTTTTTCTAATGAACAATATGGTTTTTCAATTTCATATAATGAACTATAAATTAATTGAATATTTGATGATAATTCATGTTCAATATTGTATTTCGAATGATTACAAGCAGATAAAGAATTACATCGTAATGTTATCCAGTCGGTTAATGGATATGCTGCATTAGTGATATTATAAATTTGTATTGTATTAAATGAACAATTAATATTACTAAGATTACCATTTTTATTCCAATCAATATGTGTAGATTTTACTTTTAATAATGATAAACTACAATTAACATATTTACATTGAATAGCAATATTGCGTAGAATAAATGAATCCATATGATGAAAAGTAAGATGTATTTGAAAATTATATGCATAATCACTCGTTGCTGTATTATACATACATTGATTAAATGTTTCATTATTATGTTTTATTTCAATTTCGTCTGTATAAAAATATTGACATGGATAACGTCGATATTGAAATATATGATGATCATAATTAGATAATCGTACTGTCGTTATATAAGTAAGAATATGATCATCGGACCATTCACTAGATTTCAAAGGATCATATATGAGAGTATAACTTTGATACAGATTACTACTGTATGAATGCAATCCAAGATTGATAATAATAAGAATAGAAATTGTAAGATGCGTCATGATGCTGAAAAAGAATTTTTAAAGACTCTATCTACTTTTATCGACGGAAATGCGATATATATATGTGTGTGTGCTACTAACTGACGACAGACGTTAGCGTTTACTGATGACTTGTCACTTTTATCCTAATATTAGATTAATTATTATACTTAATATATAATGTTGATATCTATCCGAGATCAAAGGCAAAAGACAGCTACGTGCATTTCTTTGTATATATATTCGTTGGTCAATTTTTCTGTAAAATTACGCGCATAACAAGAGACAAAAAAATATATATATCTATGATCATAATAAATTTTCTGTTTATCGTCTTTTTCATACACAAGCAAGAAAAGAAAACCGAAAAAAAGGAACTTTTTCTCCAGTCTAGTAAAAAAAACAATTGATAAAAGCAGTCTCCTCAATCTTCATTACCATCCAACGAGCAGAAAAAAAAGAATCAATTTCAAGACGATAGAAGTCAAACAAAATTATCTAGATACTCAGCAACGAGTATTTAATATACAAGAGGAGTAGGGAGAAAAACGAAATTTTTTTAGATATTAATTCATCAATATGATGTAGCATAAAACAAGGGAGATAAACAAAAAAATTTGCTTTTATTTTCAAGATTGTGATGGAGAACCAGTATATCGAAGATCATAACGAATATTCATTGAACGATTTTGAACAGGTTGAGAAGAAAATGATAGACAAGAACGAAATGTAGATACACGTGTTCGTCGTCCATTACTAGGTCTCTCATTTGTACCTGTAAATCTGTCACATTGTTTGGTTTCATGACGATATTGTCGATATTCTTCTTGATAATCAACATCAATCATTGTTCGATATTGATTCGGAATACAAAACTGCTAAGAAAATTTTCGAAAAGTCTAAATTTTTGTTTTCTTTTTGAAAAAATCTAATTCATACTTTCGAGTATTCATAAAACGCTTTATAACCACCATCGAGTAAATAAATTTCTGGATAATGTAATTCTGGATAAGTTTGTTCATGTATATTTCGATCTTCAGATCGAAAATATCTTAAACTAAACAAGAAAAAACGAACCTTTATTTTAATAAAGTCTAACATCAATAACTTACAGTGACGGTGCGCGTTCGGATGAAAATTCACAGTGAAAAATAAATATATTTCTTTTATTTGGATCTGTTAGTTCAATTGGTTTACGAAAAAATTCATTATAAATTTTTCTACGTGTATAAAGATTTTTAGCTGATTGAATATGACCACCTTCATATTCGTATGGATAACGACAATCGATTATATGTAAATTCTCAATCTCAGATGCATAGACATTATTCAAAATATCAATCATCTAGATAAATTAAAATTATTTCATGAGAATAAAATGTCTTTCTAACGTACTGTTTCAGGATTTATACAAGCAAGATCAGGATGTTTACGACTTGTACATCGTGGCAAGAGATATGTGCAAGAACGATCACCAATTAAATCTCGATTACAGCCAAGTTCAACGGATGCTTTTATTTGTTCTTCGTTGGGTTCAGTTAAACTACGAATTAACTAAATAATCGATTGAATAGAAATTTAAAAAATGCCAAATTATTTAAATAGAAAGACATACGCCAATGCCATGTCGAGAACGTTTAACAATTGATGGACGATTAATAATTAAATCATTTTCTTTATTACTTTCATCGATTAGTTTCGAACGCTTTATAGATCGACAATTTTCACTGTTTTCATCGTCATCATGAAGACGTTTCTGAAGAGACACAAACAAAAAGCGGTTTTTGATAGAATAGATTTCAAAATAAACAGAAATTTTACATGAATATTTAAATTTTCTTCAGTAGAAATAACCGTTAAAACTGGCATATTTTTTTCATTATCAGATAAGCAAAGAGGTAATGGTTGTAAGGGTATTTGTCGATTTCGATTACGAATATGTTCATCATTTTCGTCATTATCTCGGTTTGGTGTCACTGTTGAAAGAGATTTATCAAATAATCGAATAAGTTGATCGGAATGAGAATCCTAGAAATAATTAAATTTTTTTTCAATTAAAATAAAATCTTATTGTTTTGTTTCATAAAACAAACCGATGAAGATTGCGATCGTGTTTGCATTGAATGACAAGATGTTTTATTTCTATATTGAAATATAACGACTATTTATTTATTTTTCTTCTATTAATGAAATAAACCTACTGATTGGGGGTTAATTCATCAAGACGAATCTTTTTACTTTTTTGTTCTTTAACTAATGTTTGTCGTTTACTACTACTACGTAAAGATGTTGGTCGTAAAAGTTGATTGAAGCCATAGTGTTCTAATTTTGAACGTGTTTGTTTTGTTATAAGATGATCTGTGGTGCCAATTCGTACGGGCAAACTAAAGTTAGACGAAAACAAAAATAAAAATAAACGAACATTCTCTTTTCTATGAACTTTTTTTAACAGTTTCATATGTTGACAATAAACAAATAACAGCTAAAAATCGGCTTAGTTCACCGCTGTTAAATACAATAAGATTATCATTTTGTTGTCTATCTGCTAATAGCAGGGTAGCACCGATCAATTTAAGAAAGAAAAAGAAAATGTCTGATGTAAGTTGACACTAGTCATATAATTATGTCAAGGGAAAATCGTTGGGAATGAAAAAATGTCAACGGTCGAACGAACACCTAATACACTTGAATGTCATCCAATTGTCAGTCATAAATCAAGTGAAACGATCTTGTCGTGAACCATAGGGGTGGATTGTTTAATATTCATACGATCCACTTCTTCGCTTTGCTTAGACTTCAAAAGAATTCGAGAGAAAAAAAAATAAAGAGAACACTCACTGTTCATCTTGATGTTGTTCCTGCCTTAGGATATGAACTAAAGACAAAACAAAAAGCATCGAAATGTGAAAATTTGAAAAATGATTTATTTCTTTCGTTTTTACCTGAAGATATAGATTGTGGACTATTATCTGTTTCGTCATCACTCGAAGAAAAAACAAGTTTACGTCGAGGCGTTCGTCTAAAATTCATTTATCATGTTTAATCATGTAGAAAACAGAAGTATTTCTAACGGTTTCATTCTATGCAATTTATTCATCAATGTTTATTCAACTGATAAACAGTATATCAATGCTTTTGAACAGTCGCTTCTATATCCCAACGGTTAAACATTCATTCAAATTAGTGAGAAAATATAATAAAAGTGAAGGAAGTTTCAGTTCTTTTTTTTTGCCTGAAACTCTTACCGTATTAGAAAATTCCAACTCGTAGCGAAAGTATTCATATTAAATAAATGTTTAATATCCAATCATGTATTCATATGTGCATTAGATTGTTATTCTATCGATTTATCCTTTGGATAAATGAGAAAATATCTGTTCTAGTTGTATTTTTGTCGAGCTTAATGAGTTTTGTTTTCATTTTGAATCTATATGTCCATAACAAAAGGAGAAAAAAGAGGAAAGATGGATGAGAGAAACGATCGATGTCAATGAAGGATAGGATCCTTTTTTCTTCTCTTTCCCTCTTGAGAAAGAAAGTTCGTTGGACAGAAAAAAAAGCGAAGAGGATAACGAACGTGAAATGCAAACTTCAATGTTATTTTCATTTGCACTTTTTCTGAGTGCTATTAACACAATCTAACACATTTCGATACACACAAAAAAATCAAAGAAGAATATTTTATCAAATATTCTCCTGTTGAAAATTAAAAAAATTAGAATACAAGATAAGCATTCATTGCAACATTTTGTAATTATATCATGTCAACCTTGAATAATCGATTTACGGAAAGAAAATTGATGTGTGAAAAAATTGAAAATATGGGATGAAAAGAAACCAAAAATAAAAGAAAGTAGACATGACGTTCAATAGCACACAGCAAAAAAGTGTTTACCTGTTACTAAAAGTATCTCGTGAAGTTTGCATTGGGATACAAAAAGATCAATTCGAACGAATATGAAGATTGACAATGATGAACATTTTTTTTTTTGATACTTGATTATCTATTGTGCGTGTTGGTCAGTAGTGAAATAGATTATAATATTCAACAAGAAAAGGAGGTTTCTTGTTGTGTTCATACAGATATGTTCGACTGACTGATTTGTGTATGCAGCTGTTACACGATTTAAATGTTTCTCTCTCGCGTGGAATAGAAAAGAAAAAGATAAGCATGTCTTATTTTTATTTTTCGTTTCTATTTAATCATCTGATTGATTTAGAGAGAGAGAGAGAGAGAGGAAAACAAGAAGGATTTCAAAAGCAAAATATTCATCTAGATATCATCACATTACACGTTTTTCTTTTGTTAAAACTGTGAAATTTTCTAATAAAATATTTCTATATTGAAAAATAAAAACATTATCTGTTTGTCTCAATCTTTTTTTAACGATCAACACTACACAGAGAGAATCTAAAGTTAAAGCGTCACCGCAACGCATGCCTAACGGACTTGTTTTTATCACGATATGAACACTTTTTTTCTCACGTATTATTGTGAAAATGAATGATCTTTCTATACTTGCTTCAATCGGTATAACATCAGCTTGTTGTTACTTTTTCTTCTTGTCATAAACAAGTAATCGCATTTGACAGATACTTCGAATTTGATATGTCTTTGAAGTTTTGAAAAATAAAACAAAAAATAAATGTTTTGGTCGCTATATTTCGAAACGATTTGTTTACTTAGATGTAACAAATTAGTTTTCATTCGATATAATACATTACAGAACTAATCTACATGATTAATTGTCTACGACTAATTTCATGTAGAGTGAAAGTTAAATGAATAACAATTAATCGATTTCTTTTGGTATTTTGTTATGCAACTAATTCACACGATATGTATGCACACGAGACCAATTATTGTTATATTGAATTTCGCACTTCGATGTTCGTCGTCGTCGTCGTTGTCATCATTTTTGTGTTTACTGATTTTGTATATATTCTTGTCACTAGAGACTATGTGTGAGATTCGAATAGTTTTGTCAGTTTTGCTCTGAATAATCTTTGCCTTGTTTGATATCTATTGTTACTTTTTGTTTGTCTTGTCAATTATACGAACAACAGTAATGACAAGTGTTTTTTTCTCAGAATGAAGTGTGTGTGACATATCAATTGGTTTTCATATATGTATGTGAATACGTATTTCTCAGACAAATTATCATCAAATCGGATAGGCTTAATTTTTTCTTATGAATATGGATAGTATTCTCTTAATTAGCATAGATTCGGGAATAAAAAAAAAACGATTTATCATATGATGACGATTTGTGATTTGTGTTGTTGTAAATGGGAAAAATAAGTACAATCGAGAAAAATACAATTCAAGTGGAAATTTCTTATTGAATCTTATTTTCGAAAAAAATCAAAGAGTATGAGATGTATTTATATGGCTGTTTGATATGAGATTGAAAGAATAAAAATCTTTTAGAACAGGAAAAAATATCATCAACATTTCAATCAGCTTATCTCAATGAATGCAGAAAAGAAATACCGCATTGGTGACTTAATGTTAAGTGAAGAGAAACATTCTTTTAATTGTTCTTGTTTCACATGAAATGACAGAAGTATAATTATAGCATAATCGAAGTATAACTCATTTAGAAAAGGTATTATTTGATTTTTTTTAGCTGTATACAATAATCAGTCAATAGATCGAATTCTATGAAATATTATTTTCTTGTCTTCTCGGTCTATATCTCTAGTGACAAATGAACAGATATCGTCAACATATAATACGTCACTTTAGTTATTTTTTTATTATAAATATTTGCTTCTCTAAAATGGATGTCAGTTATGTTTGATTAGTAGCAGTATTTAGATAATACTTTGGCAATTTGCAATTATTTTATTCTTCATTTAAGTTGCTTTTGAGTTTCAAACAAGGAAATATGTTCTATTCGATTGTAATAGCCTTCGACATATATATGAATATTTCGTCTATTATTATTTGTCCCACACTTTTACAAGTCATGAACAAAATAGATAATTTCATAATTATACAGAATAATAATGAGAGCGTATAAGGAAACATCCTCATATCCATCAAATAATCATGCTTCACCGCACGTATAATAATGATAGACATATATTTATTTTTAAAGAAAATTACATTTTTAAAAAACAATCAATCATATTCAATAATATGTATTCATTTCTTTCTCTATTACGTACAACACTTGTTTATCGCATGTTTAACGATCTTGGTCGGTTTAAAATATTTTTAAATTTCTTAACGTCTTCAAAACATATATCTAACAACGATAACGATTCATACGATCGATATCAAACTATGTGTCCATTTCATTCTTCATTGGCTTGATATTTCATAAAAAAAAGAGCATTTTAGTATAATAGAAACATGCCATTGTTTCGGTATTTATTTAACATTAGTTTCTGCAACTAAATAATCAATCTCGTTTTTTCTTAGGAAAAAGTATGATTGAAAACAATGTCTTTTATTGTGTTCTCGAAAAAAAAAGAGTACACTATAGAATTGGTCAATGTGTCCGGCCGTTTATTCGATAACTTTTCACAATTACATTCGATTGAGCTGAAATTTTGTGTACAGAATTGTCTCATCAATATTTAGGTCGAGTTCGAAGATGAGAAGGATCCGCCAAGAAATGGCTGAGTTATCGAAAAAATTGTCATTTTTGATCAGACCATCCCTGAGGGGGAGTACAGGGATTTTTCAAAAAAACAAATTTTTCTCAGAATTATCCACAACATATATAAATCGACTCAGTTTTTAACGCTGATTCTGAATCGGATATTAGTTTTGAACTAAATCGGAGCTTTCTAACGAAACATCGCTTGAAAAACGTCTCAAAATGCACACAAACTGCATCCAGAAATCAAATTGCCTAGTTTCTCATGATAATTTTGTTGTTCAGACATTCTAGAATGACTCATATATCTCATGCACTTTTTGCAGTACACTTAACTCTCGGATGAAGTCTGAAGTTTCCACATTTTTTATCTATATAAACATTGACTTTAATAAATGTTTGATTCAAGGCCGTTTATATTGAAAACTTTCTAATCGTTCATTGAGAAACACAGGGTGTGTGGGTGTTATTAAGCGCTGAGTACGTTACTCCGACTTCCTATCTTTCTAGAGTAGTCTCAGTTTGACCAAATGAAATTAAAACTTTCCGTAAAACTGATAATTTCATAGATCTTACTGCAGAAAAAGTTAGAGCCTCTGGGACGTTAAATTACCGAGTTTTGACAAATCGAAGCTTGAGAATCGGTGTCTATATTTACCTGTGCACAAGTCGTATCTTTCACGATGAATAATTTTAATAGTTAATCATTATTGTTCGTTATTGAGTAGTTATATATTGCTGCTTATATGACTTGCACTAACGTAGGAAAACTATTTAAAAGAATTACTTTCATTGAAATTTTGGTGAATAGAAGCAAATTTTGCGGATGCAGAGGTTCTATACTCGTCCAAATATTACAATAAAGTTTGCAAACACAGGTAAATATCTTCAATTTTTTATTTCATGAATACAATGAGATCAATTATGATCATGATCTATCGAAAAAAATGAATGGCACTTTTATGATAAATTCTCTTTAATAAGTTCGGTTTGAAAACGATTAAACATGGGATTTATTATTCTTGACAGGATTTCATGATCCTAGTACTGTTTTCTAAGAAAATCAAAGAAGTAGATAATAAATCATGCTATGCATTATTTAATACAATGAAAATTTAGAAAAAAACGTGGCAAGTCAATATTCATAATTATTTTATTCAATTTCTGGTCTCGGATTCGTCCTATATTTCCTATATTTTCTATATTTAAAAAAATTCCTATTTTTTCTCCTATATTTCGATGGATTTTCCTGTATTTCCTACAAAAATGAAAAAAAGTAGAAAATTGCTAAAAAACGCTCTTGCTTTAGTATAATTTTCATGTTTTTTAAACAAATCTATTCGATAATTATTGATTCTTTTGCATTCTTAGAATTTTTTTACAGGAACTATTTTATTTACAATTTCTTTTCACATTATCAAACGGACAAAATGAAAATAACTGACTATTTTAAGAAAAGATATTCAAACAAAGTAAAATAGTCTTTATAAATAGTTGTGTGTTTTTTAAAAGCTTTTATTGTTGCCTATCATATGCAGTTACGTAAATGGTTTTGTTCAAGCGTAACGCTGTGACCTTTTTTGACACACTTTGTTTTTCATTATCTTGGAAATTGTGTGAGTTAGAAAGTTCGTTCAAACGTGATTTGATGCAACTTGTCATGATATGTTTATGCCATAAAATGACTATTTTTGGATTAAGTCTCTTGGTTATAGAGAGGAGCTTTGGTTGCTTGGCTGTGACATAAAAAGACTCTTTTCTTCAGGGCCACTAATAAGCTGCAGTTTCTTCTGCAACTATTTCTCCAAGTGAAACACTTCTCGAGTTAGCTTTGTAGTGCTTTTTGACCAGGTTTTAAAACACTAAAATCGTTTTCTCCAAGCTATTTTTGCTTAGATAAAAAATGCAAGAAAACAACGTGACATTTTTAGTAACACTGAGGTAAAGTTTTTCTTCATCAATTTTGAAGCATTTAACATGATCAGAGTTATTTGATTTTTATTAGTAATAGTCTTTTCTTTGTAACTAATCGTTATACACAAAAACGAAATTGATACATCTGTATGGAAGCTCATAAACGGTAAATTGAATTAGAAAGTGTATAAGAGTTTACATTGTGCTTAGCTACGAAAGTCAAAACAAAATAGCCCAGCTTGTTGAGACTAAAATTCTACAACTAACGATCTGTCATTGATATGTTTTGAAAACATTTCTTGGTTAAAAAACTCAAAATGCAATTTTTGAAAATTTTCATACTCGGTATGAGTGTACGTTGATGTGAGATAAACACCATACAAACCATTACCCACACCCTGA